AAACTGTTGGCAGGCTGAGCTGTGAGCGACCAGCCTTCCTTTTGGAGTGCTCCATGGAGGCTGAGCTGCCCACCCACTTTCCCTGTGTGTGTGTCTGTGAGAGAGAGAGGGGGGAGGGAGGGAGGGAGGGAGGGAGGGAGAGAGAGACTATCAATCCTTTTCTTCAGAAGCCCCTTGTCTGGGGCCGGCTGAGTCTGGATATTGGATGCTCCGTCTTCCAGAGGAGAATTCCCCAACCTTTCCAGGTTGGGGGCCCAGAGCTGGGGGGAGAGGGGAAAGTGGGGACATGAGTGGGGCTCTGCATGTGGGCACATGCATGTGACCCAGCCGCCCACTCCCGCAGCCAGTTGCAAAAAGGCTGCAGCCTGGTAGTGGGCCACAGACTTTCCAGAGGAAAGCAACAGCTCTCCCTTTCCGTCCGTGGAGGTCGGAGGCCAAGTGTGGGTGAGGGGAGTCTCCTCTGGCCGTCACTAAGCGTTGTGGGGGCTCCTTCAGCAGACTTTAATGATGACAACTACATCTGCAAGTCTGACCTGGAGAAGACGGTCAACAAGCTGACCCGCAAAGAGCTGACCCCGGAGGAGGTCAGCCTGGTGTGCAACAAAGTGATCGACGAAGCCGACTTGGACAACGATGGCCGGCTCTCTCTGGAAGACTTCCAGCACATGATCGTGAGAGCGCCCGACTTCCTCAGGTCTGGGGGGGTCTTCTTTCTGCGCCCCTCCACCTCCACCTGTCTCTCTCTTTTCCCCCAGTGAGGAAGCTAGTCCTGGGGGAGACCCTCCCTTCAAGCCAGCTGGGAAACCCGGCTTTAGTTGTGTAAGGTCCAATAATAATAATATGTTTAAGCTCATAAATGCCAAATAAGAAACTTAAACAGAGGCTTGAGTAAACTAGCATTTAATCTTAATCAAGCTTCAATGGTTAGCTGTTCCAAACACATACAAGATACATGCAGGTAACAACTACAAACAAGAGAGGAAATGTGAACCCCTTTTACATTGTTTAGGAAAGTCATAAACCTCCAATTCTGGCATCTTTGATTTGTGGGTTGCCTGGAACAGGGTAGAGCCCCTTGATTAGCACCATTAGCGTTACCTCTTCCTGATCATCTTCTTTGTGTTCACACTTGTCTATTTAGCCCCATGGAGTTCCCCATGAAGGGAACTCAAGATACCGATACAGAGATAAGGTTCTGATCAAAAGGTGGAACCTATGTTTTGACAAATGCCAGATACTTTATAGACCCCAATAATAGTACATGTTTGTTCCAGGAAGTTAGTCAATGTGGCATATTTTTGTTACAACTTTAAAGGCATTATATATGTATATGTTCCAGGAAACAAATATTTACAGCAGGCAGGTATACAAAGACATCATATATCATACATATATGTTGCAGGAAACAATTAACAAGTTTCTACCAATTCTAGTATTTCAGGATATCTATTTCCTGACAGTTGAACAACCTCCCAGAGCCCCATTTAGGATTTGGCTCCAGAGGAAGCCTCAAGGGCCGCGGTGGCTTCAGGCTGGTGCCAGCTGAGCCAAAGCTCTTCTCGTGGGCAAAACTGTCATACACCACACACCAGCAGTGAAATGCACTTACCTTCACTATCGGTTTGGGAGTTTGAACGTGCGCGCCTCTTCTGCGCATGCAGAAGGTCAAAAACAGGATGTAATGATGTCCCGGTGGGTGGGCGGAGCCTCCCGCCAACTGGCACTACCAGTTCGCATGAGCGGATAGATCCAGCCGGATTTCATCACTGCCACACACACACACACACACACACACAAACACAGATACACAGCATTTTCTGTGCAGAATGCTACCAACCAAGACACCAGCACTTTCTCTCCACTCCATTTGGGGGTGGGGGTCCCCCTGAAGAGGCAAGAGACTAATGAGGGGTTCTGGGAGGTGAAGCCCAGGGGGCTGGATGCTGCCAGGCTGGGCAAAAGTCTGGAATAAGTGGCGTTGGCCGAAAATTTTGTGATAACGGTTTTGATTAACACCTCTGACTGCTCCCCTCACAGAAGCTCCCGAATAAATTGTGCTTTGTTTGTTTGTTTAACAGCACCTTTCATATTAGAATCTAATCAAAAAACCTGACAGGCTCTCCAAGCAATGAACGTCATCGATACGTCTCCCCTTCTTTCCGGTGCTGAACTGATACGCAGCAGGTGACACCTGCCACTCACTTGGATCCCTTTCAAGCCCTCCAGACCCTCCTGATGGCCAGAGGGAAACAAATGCTCCAAAGAGGAGGAGGAGGAGGAGGAGGAGGAGGAGGAGGAGGAGGAGGAGGACAACAACAACTACCTTCCCTCTTAAGTACATCATTATGAAATGAGAATGGATAATATTTTTAACTTAACAGTAGGAAGGCGTTTGATTTTGTTTTTAGAAGTCAGAATTCTTGTCAATTTGCTTCGCCTGTGAAAGGAGCCAAACCATTCTAGACCCTGGGAAACTACATCAAGCACCAGTAGCTGCTATTGGCTGAAATTGCTCGGTGCATTATGGACTCCGGTGTATTAGGGGCAGCGGTGCTGGAGTTAGACTGGGCTGAGCGAGGATATTACTGGAACTGACCAAATGACCCTGAAGTAGACGTTCCCCATCGGGGACGAGGGACAGGGTTTCCTTACGGGAGATTGACCAGAGCCTCGTGCCTCAGAAGAAAACTGCCAGCCCGCTTTGGCTCTTCCCGGCTGTGAAATAAAGAACCTGATTGGACAGCTAAAAAAATCTGGGATGGTTTGAATTCAACTATATTTCATCGCACGAGAACAAAGATAAAAGCCCAGGCAAGTCCATCCTTGTTTCTAATCCCGTTCTTTTTTTGGGGAAGGGGCTGTTTTTGCAATAACTGTCTGCCTTTTTTCCTTGGCCTGTGCACCTTAAAAGTCCTCCGTCCATGTTTCCCATCTTGAGTGATGCTCCTACTCATTTTTAAGGGATGGGGTCTCATTGTGTCACCTTCCTCTTGTCCCCAACTTGCTGCACGACTGACCTGGAGGTCTTTGGTCATCCTGAGATTTGACCCCAAACTTTCCCTAGGGACAATCCAGCGTACCTTGATGAAGAACCTGAGGATGAATGATCTAAGGGGGGGGCCTCTGCACGAGCCCTGCTGGCTGTCACACCCCCTCGGCCCCTCCCTCTGCTCACTGAGCCCGCCGTGTGGCTGTATGGCATAGACTGCGGTCTGAGTTCAAAGCAATTTACTCTTTTCTGTTAACAGTGCACCAAGGTGAGGGCTATCAGGGGCCACCAGAGGTCACCCTCACAGCGTGGTCACCTGTATAACACACACCCCTCAGGATTTTAAGTCACCCATTTAACCCAGTATCTATACACTCGTAATTCAGAATCTATGCTGGCATTTCCCTTATCAACAGAAAATTGGAAACCTTTATTCATCTGTTAGCTAAACTCTGCAAAACAACCAGAAAAGATGGAAATGCCTGAACAAAGTGCTCAGCTCAGCATCTGCAGTTTGCAATGAGGAAGGGGAAGTCCATGTGAGAGCTGGCTCGGTACTAGGGAGCGTCTAGTGGACAGGGAAAGTGCCATGCCAGAACTGGGGAGGTCCAGGCGCACCTGAGTCCCAGGCATGGGAGTCCACTGGGTGACTCTGGGCCGCTCCTTCCTCGCAGATTCAGGTGGGGAGGGGGGCAGGGGGGAGAGCACTGAACGAGGGAGAAAAGTAGCAACAGCAATTTCTTGTTGGTTGATGTGCTTCAGTGGTGGGATTCTATTGGTTCTACCTGGTTCGGGCAAACTAAGAGCAGCGGCAGCGGGAGGCTCCGCTCACCCACCCAGACATCATCACAGGCGCTCTGTGCATGCACAGAAGGCTCTGCGCATGTGCAGAGATGGCGCGCGTGCTGACTTTTCCGAACCGGTAGCGAAGGTAGGTGAATACCACTACTGTTGTGTTTGTTCTTGGATGTGCCGAGTCCATCCATGACTCGAGATTCAGAAGAATCTTGACAGATTTGGGCCCTGGGCCCACCAGATGCAGCTGATTGGCGAGGAAAGGGAGGTCCTGCACTCAGGCAGGAAAGTTGCCCCCTGCCCAAAATGCCTACATACAAATTAGGGGGCATCTGGCTCAAGAGCACTAACAGTGAGTAGGGGTCTATGGCTCACAGTGGAAAACCACTTAAGGAAGGGCCAACAATGAACGGCAGTTGTCAAAAAAGCCACTGGCGAACCTGGGCTGCACCAACTGAAGAACAGAGTCGAGATCGCGTGACATGAAGATGTCGCTTCATATGGCACTCGTGAAGCCACACTTGGACTACTGCTGGTAGTTGTGGTCACCAGTTAGGAAAAAGACCCTAGGAAGCATAATTTACTAGGCCTCTGCCTCCTAGACCTGGAGATTTTCTAAAATAGACTGGACAACCAGAATCCAAATAGAGCTGGAAGGGACCTTGGAGGCCTTCTAGTCCAGCCCCCTGCTCAAGCAGGAGACTCCATACCATTTCAGACAAATGACTGTCCAGTCCTTCTTAAAAACCTCCAGTGATGGAGCAACTCCAACTTCTGGTGGCAAGCAGTTCCACTGGTTAATTGCCTTTGCTGTTAAGAAGTTTCTCCTCTTCTGCCTTGAACAGAGGGTTGGACTAGAAGGCCTCTGAGGTTCCTTCCAGCCCCAAGATTCCATGTCGTGTCTTCAGCTAATTGATTACAAAGTTTTCACATTGCAATGGGCTTTTAGTGCGAGTTCAACAAAGAAGGAAAATGAGAGAGGGAGGGAGGGAGGGAGAGGTGGGGGAGAGAGAGGTTCCTTCCACTCCTAGCCAGAGCCTTGGTGGCACCCCGACCTGCCAAGACCTGCCTTGCTTTTCTCCAGGAATGTCAAAAATTCCTGCCCTGGGCAGGGCCCAGACTGAGGGATCCCCCGGATCCTGATCAACCCTAACATGGAACAGATTTAACGCTGGGCCTCGCGACCAAGCCCAGCCCGAGGGGGGGGGAGAAACACCTTTTTAGCAGCGCGGGAGCAAACACAGCTACTGTTGGCCCCTGGCATCCGAGGCAGGTCTGCCAGAGATGGGTGGGTCCTCAGGAGGAGGAGGAGGAGGAGGAGGAGGAGGCTGCTCTGTGTTAAGTCAGCATTTCCCAGTGACCTTTTGAGCCCAGTTCCAAGCTCCCAGTCCTCCCTAGGGAAGGACAGGCTGTTCTTCCTCCTGGGGAATCTGCGGAAGGGACCTTCCACCAGTGAGCATGAAGCTTTTGGGCACCTCCTGCGTCTTCCTTCTCGGGGTTATGATGCTCCCCAAAGCAGGTAGGTCTCATGTCCCACCTCCCTTTGGAAGGAAAAAATCTCGAGAGTTGCTGTGGGAGGTGGGGGACTCATCCCATGGGACCCTCGGATTAAATCTCTCTCCCTTCACCCAGAGAGAGAGGAGCCTCTGCAGGAGAAGGCAGGACTCCTGCCTCCCCCCTACACAGCTACACACACACACACACACACCTTTTGCTACTCCAGGGCAAGGAGGGAGGGGACTTCTGGGAAGACTCATCATCTGAAAGACCCGGGATGGACCCTTGAGCTGGGCTTCTTAAAGGAAGTTGCTGCCTTTGCTGCTGCACACGAGACAGGTGCCCCGGATCAAGGGTGGAGAGAGAAGGGGGCAGAAGAGGCTGCCAAGAGATCCCATTTGGTCTCTCCAGAGGAGCAAGCTACACCTTTTCCCTCCCAAATGTTTCCCGTGATTTGCAAGAGAGGAACCACAGTGCCCCCTCTGCCGAAGGGACCGGAAATGGAGACTGGCTACCAGAAGGGAGAATTCACCGTGGAAACTTTCTGTGGAATGAAGGAAAGAGGAAAGATACAAAATCCAGCTTGGACAAATGTCTCGGGCAGACCCTCCAATGCCCCAGAGGAACGGGGGCACCAGATTGGCTATTGTCCAAATCCAGATGCCAAACGCAGAGAAGGAAACGCCCGTTCTGGCTCTTAAAGCAGCCCAGCCACTTCCCCACTATCCGCTTCGATATACTGGTTTGGTCGAAGCTCTTGGGCAATTTTTTTTTTTTTAATTTGATTTATATGCTGCCCTTCTCCGGAGACTAAGGGCGGCTTACAATGCATTAAGCAATAGCCTTCATACTTTTGTATATTTATACAAAGTCAGCTTATTGCCCCCACAATCTGGATCCTCATTTTACCTACCTTAGAAAGGATGGAAGGCTGAGTCAACCTTGAGCCTGGTGAGATTCGAACTTACAGTAATTGCAGACAGCTGGTGTTAATCACAATGCTATCAGTCTGCTGAGCCACCAGGCCCAGATGGGGAAACTGAGTTCACGTCCCACCCGAAGCAAAAAAGCCAGTTGGAGACGTTTGGGCCGGCCCCTCCCTCTCAGTCCGCCGCAGCCAAGGGATCCCACTCAGAACAAATCCGGCCCTGTCCTAGCAGGGAAGATGCCAGGACGGGGGGAAAAAAACAGTTTGCCGTGTATGGGGATTGTTTGCCTGTCCTTTCTTTTGCTTCAGTGTGACTGAACAAATATTGTTTTTTTTTTTAATTTAATTTGTATACCGCCCTTCTCCCAGAAGGGACTCAGGACGGTGAACAGCCAAAATTAAAATACATACAATACAAAAGTTAAGATAATTAAAAGAGATTAAATCAATTGGCCTCCCAATTTAAAACCCCAAATCTATAAAATTGAAAATCCCATTAAAAACCATTTAGGCTAGGCCGGCTTGCTGGAATAAATAAGTCTTCAGGGCCTTACGGAAGGTCCGGAGGTCCGGGATCAATCATATTCCAGGAGGTAGCTCATTCCACAGGGCGGGTGCCCCCACAGAGAAGGCTCTACCCCTGGGGGCCGACAGCCGACATTGTTTGACCGACGGCACCCTGAGGAGGCCCTCTCTGTGAGACCGTATTGACCGGTAGGAGGTTATTGATAGCAGCAGGCGGTCTCGTAAGTACCCTGGCCCTAAGCCATGGAGCGCTTTAAAGATGAGAACCAACACCTTAAAGCGCACCCGGAAGAGCTCGCGCAGGAGAGGTGTTACATGGGAGCGCCATGTCGCTCCCATAATCACCCGCGCAGCCACATTCTGGACCAGTTGGAGCCTCCGGGTGCTCCTCAAGGGGAGCCCCCGGAGTGTCAGTCACCTTGGGATTTTGGCAAAGTAAAAAGCACGATCCTGCGGAGGGGAGCTCCGTTTTTCCGCCTCCATCCTTGGGTGCCAAGAAAGTGGGGCCCTGACCGAAGGGGAAGCAAGGCTTTCATAGAGGTTAAGGGCTTCAAGGTGGAAACCAGTGGTAAAATGCAGCCGGTTCTATCTGGCTCAGGCAAATCGGTAGTGCCGGTGGTGGGAGGCTCCACCCACCTGCCCGGACGTCATCACATCCCGTTTCTGATGCTCTGTGCATGCGCAGAGGGGTCGTGCATGAGCAAAGTGACCGCATGCATGTGCACGCACTCCCATTTGCAAACCGGTAGCGAAGGTAAGTGGATTTCACCCCTGGGTGGGTGTCTGATGGGATTCAAAGTGATAGGTCTGGCAGTATATTCCTCCTGCTGGGAATCTTAGCCAAATCCTGGGCGGCTCCCACATTCCCTTCATGTGTGTCAAAACCAATGCCTGGATTATTATTCCGGTTCCAGGATGGAGGTGAATATGACTGAAAGGTTGCGAGGAGCAGAGAGCCAATGCCTGGAAATATTTCTCAAAAATGACCGACTGCGACCCCTGGACATAAGTCGGGTTTTTAGACTAATGTTACAAGTGACTGTTCCCTGTGTCTGTTTTCCACCTAGGAGCCCAAGCCTCCTGCTCGAGTAGTTGTGGGGGCTTCCTAGCTGCCTGCTCGTGTCACGCAACCTGTGAGAACCTGGGAAGTTGCTGCCCCGATTATTGGAACTTCTGTGTGAAGATCTCACCCTCCTCTGGCACCCTGCTTGGCGGGAAAGATTTCGCTCTCCTAAATGTGACTTTTGAGACAGGCGTCCCCGTGACGTGCAGGTGAGGCCAGGAAAAGCATTTTGCATTGTGATGTCATGGGGGAAAAGTTCGGGACTTCACTTGTTGTGCAAAAGCTGCCTAGTTTCCTTATCCTCATCCTAAAAAGTTGTTTCGGTGATGCTAAGCCAGAATCTGATGTGGTTAATTGGAAGGTAATTAAAATGTGATGTAGCTGATGGAGGAATTGATCAACCTGTTTTAGGACCCCAGACCCAAGATGCCCGAATGAATCTTTTCTTGAAAACTTCCACTGATGGAGCATCAGGGGTGGAATTCAGAAATTTTAGCAGCTGGTTCTCTGCCCAGTTGCTGGGTGGGTGTGGCCATGGAGGGTGTGGCCTACTCAGCCTCCTGCACCACAGGTGGGGGGTGTTTTTGCCCTCCCCAGGCTCCGAAGGCTTTTCTTTTTTTTCTTTTTTTTTATTAAAAAGTTTTATAAGAAATACAAACAATTTTCTCCCCCCCCCTTCCCCTTCCCCACATAAATTATACATTTTCTTATACATAAGAAATCCTCCATATACATGTTTCCCTTAAAGAAAGCATTAAAATAAAACATTTTAATTATATTCGGAGTTGCTCTTCTCCTTCTTCCCTCATTCCACAACAAACCTTCTTCTCCTCCTCCTTTCTTTCCCATCCCTCCCTCCTCTTCCCTCCTACCTCTTCTCCCACCTCATCCTACTTCCTTTCCCTTTCCCCCACTTCTCTCTTCTTTTCCCCCTTCTCGCCTTCACTCCTACTCCTGTCCCCTTCCCTTCCCTTCCTCCTCTCCTTTCTTCCATTCCTCTCCCTCCCTCTCCTCTTCCTACCCCCTCCTCCTCTCTCCTTTCTAACTTCTTTGCTGTGAAATATTTTTCTCCTTTAGTATCTGAGCAGCTCCTATATTCTAGAATACACTTTCTTCTGCTAAAACATTTCTCTATTCATCACTTTCCCCCCCTCCCTTATCCCCCCTCCCCACCCCACCCCTGACTTCCCAGAGCAAAAACAGGGTATAGCATCTAACAAACATATGCTACAATAAACTAACAAATTATAAAGTTCAAAGCTCCCACGTGTTCTTTAACTCCCTTTGCTCCAATTCAACAACCTCCCTTTTATAAATTCTCAATACCAATTAAATTAAATTCATTCTTCCTAGTTAAATAGAAAAAAAAGAAAAAAAAAACCTTTTTCTTAATGCATAATCCAATACTTTAGCAGTCTTACAAGCAATAAAAATCATGAATAAATTCCATTTCTATACCAGAAAAAAAATTTTCATCTTAGAATCTTGCACATTTTATCTCATATATCTTTTAAAATAATATAGTCTAATGTTAAGCATTTTAAAAATCTCTAAATACCTTTAAAACACTTATTTACCAAATATAAATTTCAGAATCTATAGGAGGGTATCTTTCAATTTTTCAATTAACCGTCTTAATACCTCTAACTTTTTTAAAAGAACAACCCTTAATTATCCAAAACTAATTATCAGTTTACAATAAAATTCTGAGTTTAACATTAATCCTCTTCGCTTCAAAGGGTTAAACATCCTAAAAGCTTATACAATTTATCTCATATATCTTGTAGAATAATATAACCTTATGTTAAACATTTTAAAAATCTTTTAATACCATTAAAACACATATTTGCCCGTTGCCAATTTCAAAATCCACAGGAGAATATCTTTCTTAATCTTCTGTTCTTCACTTCTTTTTGTATTTTTTCCAATCCTTTTTTTTTTATAAATTCTTTCAACAATCCCCCCAGTTTTATTTTGGAAACTTTTAAAATAGTGATTTGAGGTTGATGTTTCTGAAATACTCGCTCTCTTCTTGAAGTCAGCTTTTCTAACTTAAAATCCTCATCTCGTCTCTTCTGGTTTGTATAATCATTCAATCCATTTCTTTGTCCATATAGCCAAAATTTGTTGCCATAAAGATTGTCAGCTTGCAATAAAGAAACCATTTATTACGAAGGCTTTTCTTGAGCCTCTGGGAGGGCAAAAATGGCTCCCCCCGGGGTCCAGAGGCCCTCCAAAGGCCAGAAACGGGCCTGTTTTGGGATGTCTGGTACTTCCGGTAGGCCCATTTTTCACCCTCCCAGAGCCTCCGTGCAGGCCCTGAATTTATCTGGCATCCACAATGGGCTGCATGGAGACTCCTGGGAGGGGAGGGGAGGGGAGGGGAGGGGAGGAGCAGGGTGGGCGTGGTCAGCCAGTTCTTGCAACTACCGGTTTGGCAAACCAGATGTAAAATTTGCATTAGCAATCCCACCCCTGCAGAGCACCCTGTAATTCCAAGAGCCAGGCTATTTTTTGGCAGGATATCTATCACTGGAGGTTTTTAAGGAGAGACTAGACAGTCACTTGTCTGAAATGGTATAAGACCATGATGGCGAATCTATAGCATGTGTGCCAGAGGTGACACGCAGCACTCTCTCTGATGGCATGCGAGCCGTCACCCCAGTTCAGCTCTGTGGTCCATGCGTGCGCGTCCCACCGGCCAGCTGGTCTTCGGGTGTCTGCCGCGCACGTGCGGGGGTGCACACTTTGCATTTTGAGGGTTCGGGTATGTGCTTGTGTGCGCATGTGCTTTTTACACTTGGACCGGAAAAAGTTAGCCATCACTGGTAAAGGATCTCCTGCTCGAGCAGGGGGCTGGACTAGAAGACCTCCAAGGTCCCTTCCAGCTCTATTTGGATTTTGATTCAAGGCTGGGAAATTACTCCTCACTTCGAGTTTGTTCCTCCTTTGGGTAAAGTTTCCATTCGCTAGTTATGTCTTCCAATATTAACATCTCGGATGGCCTTTCTTGACCTCTTGTGGGGGTTTCCCCAGATTAAGGCCAGGTCCAAAGTCCTCCTGGCGGTCGACACCTCTGAGCCGCTGCATTCGGGTCTGGTTGCAGTTTCTGCTGGGTCTTTTAAAAAGTGTGGAGTCCTTTGGGCTGGTTCAGAACAGCCTTGAGCAGGTTTCTTTCCTCCCTCCCACCTTTATTGGCTCCTCAGGGCTTGGGAGGGTTTTTTTTTAATGTTATTCTTGCTTTAATTAAACCATTGTATTCAGGTACATAAGCTATTCAGTGTTGGTCATGATTGGAGCAGCAGACATGCCTAATAAAACAATAAATGGTAATAGCTGCCAGCCCCCTCACCCTCCCGCCCATTGCTCCTTCCCAGGCTGAGCCCCTCCACCAAGGAACAACACCAAGAGCCAAACTGTAGGAAGACTGGCCTGTCTCCTTCCCAGAAGAAGGGCTGATCCCTTCCCATAACCCCTCCTCCTAGCCCCCCAAACAATCCTCCCTGGAGACCTGGCTGGAAGTGCCAACTAGGGAAAGAGCCACATAAAACAGCCTCCCTGTTCAGATGGTCCAGGACGATGACGTGGCTGCTGGGACTGAAATCTTCAGAGAGTTTGGGCCCAGGGGTGAGATCCAGCAGGTTCTGACGGGTTCTGGAGAACCGGTAGCGGAAATTTTGAGCAGTTCAGAGAACCTGCAAATAAAATACCACCTCTGGCCGGCCCCAGAGTGGGATGGGAATGGAGATTTTGCAGTATCCTTCCCCTGCCACACCCACCAAGCCATGCCCACAGAACCAGTAGTAAAAAACTTGGATTTCACCACTGGTTGGGCCCCTCCTCAGCCGAGGGTCGTTCCAAAAGTGGGACCCAGGAAGGGCCTTTTAAATCATCTGAGGCACAGATGATTTAGCCAGGTGGGACCTGAACCCCCGAGTGGAGAGGTCATCCCAGCAGGCGCTTTCCCCAAAGGAGCCCCAGATGAAACACGGGGCAGATCACACCGTCCTGTTGGAATCTTCCCTGGAAGGGCCCAAACTCCAAGAGGTTAAATCCCAGATTTCAATAGGAGAGAAAAAAATAATGTTTGGAAACTAACCAAAGAGAGAAGCAGCCTGGAATTAAGGGGAAACTTCCTAACAGTGAGGACAATGAACCTGTGGAACAGCTGGCCGCCAGAAATCGTGGGTGCTCCATCAATGGAGGTTTTTAAGAAGAGACTAAGTTCTCCTGCTTGAGCAGGGGTGATGGACTAGAAGACCTCCAAGATCCTTTCCAGTTCGATTGTAATCTAAGAATATATTCAGCTTCCATTCTCCTTCACCAAGAAGCCACGAAGCCCTCCAGAATCAGCTGAAGGAGAGAGAGAGAGAGAGAGAGAGGGAGTCCCTTCAGAAATCACTGGTTGCCTATCTGCCTATCGACTATCTGTGCTTTGGCCCCTCTGAGAAACAGCTGCCAGAGACCCTTTCAGTACATTCGGGGATGAGCCCCTGAATGAGACCATGGTGGCAGGGGTGATATTCACTTACCTTCGCTACTGGTTCACAAATGTGAGCCCTCACGCGCGACACATCTGCGCATACGCAGGACCACCTGCACATGCGCAGAGTGTCAAAAACAGGATATGATGATATCTGGGCAGGTGGGCGGAGCCTCCCGCAGCCGCCGCTACCAGTTTGCCTGAACCGGATAGAACCGGCTGAATATCACCACTGCACGGTAGCCTTTCTGACTGAACCAGGCAGGAAGAACTAACTGCAAGGCTGCTACATCAACAGCATCAAGGCTGACTCGGCCTTCCATCTTTCCAAGGTCGGTAAAACGAGGACCCAGATTGTTGGGGGCAATGATGCTGACTCTGTAAACTGCTTAGAGAGGGCTGTAAAAGCACTGTGAAGCGGTATATAAGTCTAAGGAAGGGCTATTGCTATCTTGCAAAACTAAAACTGCGAACTTGCTTTCCTCCACTGCGGGATGGAGCTCAGGAGAAGGCCGCAGTCCTCATCCAGGCTGACCCCGGCATGGCTGAAAATTAGGCTGCCAGGTAGCAGAAACCCAGGATGTCCAAAGCTGTAGAAATGCTTCCTCTCCCAAAGGCAGGCAGAGCGGGAGGGCTCTGGACTTGGTGGGGATGGAGGGGTGGTTCGGAGAAAAGGAACTTCTCTCTCTTAGGGCGCTCCGGAGGACGTTCTGGGACAAGCCAAACCTGCCAGAAGGAGATGGGTCCACCTGGCACCAAGAGGCTGCTGGGGCAAAACTTCAAAATACGAGGCAGAGCAGCTTTTCAATTGAGCCCTGGGAAAAAGCACCAGAGAGAATTCAATCTGGAAGACTGCAGGTGTTTCAAATACCACAAGGCAGGAATTCTCAAACTTTCGATGCCATAACCAACATTTTACACAACAGCGCAAAAAATGCATTAAAGCAGTTATCTTTTGATATCGAAAATGTAGTGCTGAAGGTTTTTGCCAAATTTTTGAATTCTGCGAAGAAACGAGAAGAGTTGAAATCATTTTTTGAGTTTTGCGAGTCAGAATTCCATGAAGTTTTGCGCCATGTTCCAACACGTTGGTTAAGTTTGTTTAAAGCAGTTGAAAGACTTCTTTTAAACTGGATACCTCTAAAATCATATTTTATTTCTCTTGGATCTGATGAGTGCCATAGGTTATCTGTATTTCGGATCAGGAAAATGAACTCGCAAAGGACAATGAACCAACAATTTCAGAATTGTATTTATATTTCACGCACTTCTTCATGTCAATAATGCAAGACACCCTACTGAAGCTGGAAAGCAAGAAAATTCTTGCATGTGATCTTCACATTATCATGTGTAAGCTGCGTGATTCTTTGCAAAAAAAATACGATGAGCAGTTTTTTGGAATGAAAGTTTTATTTGCCTTACGTAAAAAACATTTGCCTGAGAATGCTGTGCAAAAGTTCAAGAAAGAAGCCATCAACATGTATCAAAGAGCCATTGCGTACCTAGAAAAGTGGTATAATTTCACCGATTCAGTATATGAGACACTAAATTGTTTCAATCTAATTGATCGCAATAATCCTCCGACTTTAGAAGAAATGACGAACATCTGGTTATTATCACCATGGCGAGAAGATCTTCCACCCAACACTCTCTTCGATGAAATTTCTGCCTTAGAAGAAGTTTATGTTCATCTGCAGGGCGATTCATCCCTTGATAAGTGGACGTACTTTTTCAAGAAAGAGCCAGCTCCAAGTTTACTGAAACTGTTCCAGTATTGTGCATCAATTCCGGTATCAAATGCAAACGTTGAACGAATTTTCAGCGTCATGGGAAATTTGTGGACTGACGAATGTAACCGACTGCTTGTACCATCAGTTCGAAGTGAACTTTGTATATTTTTTAATATTTCTCAACGTTGTACTGAAATTAAAGAATTATTCCTTAAACACAAAGAATTGATCAAAGCTGCACAGTCAAATAAAAAATACACACGACAGCAAAGTAAAATGTAATTTAATATTTTTAGAATTTTAAGTAAAGTTTTGAAGTGATTATTTTAATACGTGTTAAAATGTTTGTAAGAAAATATATAATTTAATTTTAATTTTTTTAAATTTTTTTACTACTTAACCCCCCCCCCCCGCTTGTCCGCTATTTTTTGGAAGCAGACCTGGCAACCCTAAGTGCATTTGAGGTGAACCCTCCAGAAAAAAGGAAAAAAAGACAGGAAGGAGATGAAGGCCCGCAGACTAAACTTTTGTGCAGCGCCCACCAGTGGCAGCCACCTCCAGCTGAAACCAGTCCTGGAGATTTCCTCCTTCCACTGGGTGGCTGGAAACAAGGGATGCACTGGCAGAATCCAAAACTGGAGACCGCAACCTCCCCCAACCACCATGGAGATGGCCTTGAGGACCCTACGCAGCCTCCTCCGCTCTTTTGTTTTGTTACAAAAACAAGACTTCCCGAGCTCAGGACCTCAAGGAACAGAAATTACAACATGGAAAGTTTTTCTGTCTGAAGAGCTGGATAAAAAATCGACTAAGCTGCCCAACAGGCCTCTGCAGATGCTGATGGGACCATAAAATAGATGATGATGATGATGATGATGATGATGATGATGATGATGATGATAATAATAATAATAATAATAATAATAATAATAATAATAATAATAATAATAATAATAATAAACAACTGACTAGGTAGCTCAAGTGACTAAGACACTGAGCTTGTTGATCAGAAAGGTCGGCAGTTCGGAGGTTTGAATCCCTAGTACAAGTCTCCTGTATGAGCAGGGGGTTGGACTAGATGACCTCCAAGGTCCCTTCCAACTCTGTTACTGTTACATCCACAAAGTGACACCGACAGGTTGTACCTGCCCAAAAAAATAGGAGGCAGAAGGCTATTACAAATCCATCGAACTGTACAAGAAGAAAAACAAAGTTTGAATGATTATGTGAACCAAAGTACAGAAAAATTGCTGCAGGCTGTGAAAACAGAGAACATTATACAAACAACAGAAAAAAGGTAGAATATAAGGAAAAACAGCTGGATGACAAATTAAATAGATGGAAAAACAAAGCTTTGCATGGACAATACTTGAAAAACATTGAAGGAAAATGTGATGACAATCTTACATGAGCATGGCTTAAAATGGGAACCATTAAGAAAGAAATGGAAGGTTTAATACTCGCTGCTCAAGAACAAGCACTACAAACTAATGCCATGAAAGCAAAGATACAAAAATCCACTGACAATTCAAACTGCCAACTATGAAACAACAAAGTCGAAACTGTTTCACATTTAATATGTGAATGCAGCAAAATTGCACAAACTGATTACAAAGCTAGACACAATCGAGTTGCTAAATTAATCCACTAGTCATTATGTAAAAAATATGATTTACCTGTATCCAAAAAGTCATGGGAGCATGAACTGGAAAAAGTTACTGAAAATGAGAAGGTGAATATCTTGTGGGACTTTCGAATAGAGACAAATCATCATTTGGAACACAACACGCCAGATATCACAGTTGTCGAAAACCAAAATGTACAATTTATTGACATTGCGGTACCAGGAGATATAATATAATAATTTATTATAATATAATATTATAATAATTTATAATATAATAATATTTTATAATAATATAATATTTCTATTAACATAATCATATATTTTATATTAATTTATACTAACAATAACAATAACAATAACCCTAACAATAACAATAACAACAACAATTCAGATATCACACCAAAGTGTACAGTTTATTGATATTGCAGTACCAAGAGATGCCAGAGTCGAAGAAAAAGAACTGGAAAAAATCATGAAATATCGCAACCTGGCCATCCATAACCGAAACACGGTTATGGATGAAACATGTAACTGTGATACCCATTGTCATTGGGGCACTTGGTACCATGTCCAGGAATTTTATAAGATACATCAACAAATTGCAGCTTCCTGCAATAACACCAGTGGAACTACAAAAAACTGTGCTACTTGAAACATCGTACATCTTAAGAAGGTACTTGGTTGATACCTAGGATGCTGGCAGCAACCTGTTTCAACCATTAGCACCAGTCAGTGGTATTTGTGATGCATTTTTGAATGTTCAGTTGACTTTCATATTTAATGAATAAAGTAAATAATGATGATGATGATGATGATGATGATGATGATGATGATGATGAGACCAAGAGCTCGTGCTAAACAGGCCTTTCCATATCAGGGTTTGCCATCTCCAGGGGAAGTGGAGAAAATTGGGGCTCTTGGTGGGGAAAAAGCTTCCTTGAGGGTCCCAAGGACCCCCGTGGCTGGCACGACTCCAATCTTTGTAGGGAAAGACCACATCATGGTGGCATCCAAGTTTCCTTGCCAGCTGGGAGTCGGGAGTCTTTGAGAAGGAAAACTAAAGGGTAGGTGTGGAAACACTAGACAGGTGTGAAAAAAGCAGTTGTCCTTTGAGGGGGGGGCTCCTTTGGAGGGCGCTGCCCCCCCCCCCAAGGGGTTTTAGGAGAACTGTATTGCTCTCCTGGCCAGAAATAAAGTTGAAATTTATCAGTCTTGTTTCTATTGTGTATTATTACGTTGTATCGATGTGTTGGCTTCCGCTGCTGTTCCTCTACACCATTTAATTGTCTGAAATGGTTGATACATTTAGAAATAAGGCATAAAGAAAAGTAAGGATAAATAGGCCACAAGCCAAGGAACAGAATAAACCCAGCAGAGTCCCAGGAAACAGCTACATAGAGAAGGGAAAGGAAAGGAAAATGCCATGGGAAGATGAGGGAACAAGGTGAGAAAGGGAAATGCAGGTCAGATGGTCGTGGGAACGCAATGCCTCCCCGGCCAGAGAAAGGATGGCTTGCATGGCCCCTTTGTAGCACCCCCGTGGCAGGGGTGGGAGCCTACCAGTTTAACAACCAGTTCATTAAGCGCACCAGACGCATATGGAGTTTGGAGAAAACTCACCTTCCACATTGCTGCCGGCAAGGAAAACAGCTGAGATACGGCAATCCACTCTGCCGTACCGATCAGCTGGGTTCAGAAACGGAAATATAGGTGAGTATAACACAGGGACAGGTGGGCGGGCCCACTTCAAAATCAGAGCGAACTGGTTCGCTCATGGCTGATAGTCAGAGCTAACAGTTCACCCAAACCAGTCCAAACTGGTAGAAACCCACCACTGTGGCCCATGGCATTTGTCCTCAACCCCGGCAGGTTTGCCAGGACCACCGAGACCCAGGGATACGTCGGGCAGGATGGCCGGCTGCACTGCATCTCCCCTTTGCTCTATGAAATCGGCCTGGTCAGCCTGGAAGTTTCTCTGGACAGTGGGAAGACATTTCCTTGGTCGGCATCTTGGAGTTCAGGTCAGCCGCTTCTCTTCTTTCCCTAATTTGCACGTCCTCCTCACTCAAGCACGGAGCGAATACGACGCCTCCGTTTTCCTCCAGTGACAATTGCTCCGGAGCAATAGTGAAAAGCACCTTTTTCTGCTCTTAAATCACAAAACAGCCCAATGAAAAAGGTTCCACAATGCAATGTGGGGTGTAGAGATGAAACAGGAAAAAGGAGCCCACACTGGGTTTCCCCCTGGGTTTTGCTGCTCCTCAGGTAGCAAGGGAGGGGCAGTTTGGGGGGTAGAGACACAGCCTCCCCAGTTCTCCTCAGCAGAACAAAATGGGCTGGGTACCCCATGCCCCTTCTTTAAAAAAAATGGCACGATGTGTTTAGTGGCAATAATTGTCCCGCTTGTTTGGCAATGCAGGCAGCAACTAACACACGTCCTCTTTCCTTTCCAGTTCATCACAACAAGGTTCCCCCTTCAGAGAAAAGCACACTGGTGAATGAAACCCAGTGGCAATACTACGGCACTCCGGGGACGGGGGGACCCCTGACCGTCACCTGGAACCCTGACGTGCTGCGATCCAGCCATGTTCATCTAGAGGTTTGGGGGTACAACGAGACAGGTAGGTGCACTTCCCAATGCCAGGAAGGCAGCTTGGATGGAAAAGGGATGGTATAAATTAACTACGCAGTGACTATGATCCGATGGTTACATTTCTAGCGGATGGAAGGAGACAGCCGTAGGAGAAGTCAGACGTCTTCTGATCTGGCTTGTGGGCTTCTGAAAAGCTCTTTAGTCAACCGAATCTGCGGCTGCAGAAACAGCTGAGGGCCAAGAACATTTGCTAGGCACGTCAGTGGTCACTGATGGCGTTACCCAGTTAGGGAAAAATATGCCTGCAGCAGACAGCCAAACTCCACCTTGCAACCCTGAGCTACATCTTCTTTCTTCTATAGAAGCCAGCCGTTTTCTGCCATCTGGTGGATTTACAGGGTTTTTGCAGCCTGGTGTATATGGTAGCCGGGGTGGGTTCCAAATCCCGTCGCTACCAGTTCACGGAGCCTCCCACCGCCACCACTACCAGTTCACCCGATCCAGTGTGAACCAGTAACAACCCACCATTGATGGTAGCCCTAGCCAAAGGCATCCCAACACGTGGCGTTAAATCTCTGGTAGAGCAGAAAAACTGGCATCCATATAGCAAAGGATGGCTTCAGATGGTCTATCCCAAACTCTAACTTGGGCTTCAGAGAAAAAGCAAAGTTTTAAAGACTGGCATGGCTGGAGTCCTCCAAATCCCCAGGTTTCCTTATCCAAAGTTGAGACGCCACCATAGAGGAAGTGTGCCACCTCTGCCCTGTTCTACGTCCGCTCTCTCAAGTCTCATGGGGCAGGAAGCTCCAATCACAGACAGGCAATTCCACCAATCAGCCAGCCAGGGGTAAGATTCAGAAATTTTAGCAACCAGTTCTTTGTTCGGTTACTGAGTGGGCATGGCCATGGTGAGCGTGGCCTACTCGGCCTCCTGCATCACGGTAGGGGGCATTTTCACTCTCCCCAGGCTCCAGAGGATTTTTTTGAGCCTCCGGGAGGGCAAAAATAGCCTGCCCCGGGCTCCAGAGGCTCTCCAGAGGCCGGAAATAGGCCGGTTTTTGGTCTTCCAGAACTTCTGGTAGGCCCATATTTCACCCACCCAGAGCATCCGTGTGGGCCCTGCACTTACCTGGCATTCAAAACGGGCTGCATGGAGACTCCTGGGAGAGGCAGGGTGGGGTGGGCGGGGTCAGCCAGTCCTTGCAACTACCGGTTAGCGGCAACTACCAGATTAAAATTAACATCCCGTTCGCCTGAACCAGTCCAAACCAGCTGAATCCCACCCCTGCAGCCAGCCCATGCCATGAAAGGCTTCAGAGGTATAACTAACACACTGAATTGTAATGTGAAGCCTCTAGGAAGCCAGTGGCAGCTTCTGATCTGGTGGGGTTACTTTACGTGGTACCCCCAAAACTGTCTCTGCTCTGCTGCATTCTAAGCCAATTATGGTCCCCCAGATGGCCTCCGACAGCTGCCCCACGTAAACCACATTGCAGTAGGCCAAGAGGGAAGGGAAGAAGGAATGGGCACTCCAAGAGGAAGCCATCCAAAAGCTTCTGGGCCTCAACCACCATCCACTCGGCAAGCAGGAGCCGTGAGTCCAATAGGGCCTCCAAAGCACACACTAGCACCACCTGGCACAGCAACAACACCACAGTTCTTCACCACCAGTGGTGGCTCTGCCTTAAACGGCTGCAAAGTGGCATCCACGATGGATGGAAAAGCTGCTGTTTGGCCACAAGAGCCATCCTGTCAAGATTCCCTCCATCCCAGGTGCCAACTGCTGCATTGGCCTGCAGGCATCCCCTCTCTGGCCACTGGCCCCAGCCGGGCTGGAAGAAGCCCTCCTGTGGCAGAGGAGCAGAGGGCTATTGCCAGGCAGACCCAAGTGTGACAGTCATAGGGACAGTGGCCTGCCTGCGTGGAAAGTGCAGCTGCCGGGCTTGGGTTTCCAGGAGCTCCCACTGTCCCAGCTGCAGCTTTTGTTTCGCCCAGAAGGACATTGGGGGGAGGGGGGCTGGATCCAGCAGCATCCTCGTGCAGTGGCTTGAGGTGCAGCTGGTGGGGTGTTTCAAGTCTCTTCCTTCCTTCCTTCCTTCCTTCCTTCCTTCCTTCCTTCCTTCCTTCCTTCCTTCCTTCCTTCCTTCCCTCCCTCCCTCCCTCCCTCCCTCCCTCCTTCCCTTGTCCAGGCAAGCCTTATTCTGACAACTGGACAGCTGAGTGGAAGTACCTCTACTCTCTGGAGCGGAACTACCCAAATACAGGACGCTTCAGGTTCCTGCCTGCTCCCTCTGCTCAGTACGGGAGCTGGGAAATGGGTGCGCTGAGGATTTCTGCCAACGCCTCTTCTGAAGGCCAGCAGTGAGTATCCCAGGCGCTTCTGGGAAGGCATGTCAAGGCCCTCTTGACCCCAACCGGCAAGCGTGGGAAAACAGGGAGGGTGGCTACATGCAGCTGGTTGCAATAGGCTTCTGGCACAAAAGGTCCACTTTCTCTCAAGCAGCTTTCCCCAGTGAGATCAGCTGATCCCACTAAGATTCCCAGTTCCTCCTGGTGAAGCAACTCAGCTTCTTTCATGCCGCTTGCCACCTGTGGCTCCCCATCCTTGTTTCACTGAATAGGGGCCTCGTTTTAATGGCTTCCTGGTCTGGATCAATCCCCAACTGGGTCAGGCCCAATTGGTATTTGGTTTTGAGACCTCCAGGAAATGGCAGAGCTGTCCCTAGACTGGGAAATCCCGTCATCTTCTCCAGAGAATTACAGGGACGACTCTGACGGTTCTGCAAGATGAGCCCGACTCAAAGGAGTTATGACTTGCACTGTTTTTCAACACAAAATGGATCGGGCGAAGAAAAAACCTCATTCCTTAGAAATGAGCTGCTCCCATGAGTGGAACCCAGACCAGATTTGGCTGCCCGCCTCGTGTCCTGGTAACTTTACTGGCCTGTTTGATTCTTCTCCCTCTGGTTCTCCCCGACATCAGAAACGTGGCTGCCATCTGGAGCACAGAGCATGCCATGGCCTGGCACCTGGAGGAGGCATTCCGGAAGGACTCCACTGCCTGGGCTGCAGCCAAGTGCCAGCAGTGGGACAGGAAGGAGGTGGATCTGCCCGGGTTCCTGGAGGAGATATCTGACTGTCCCTGCACTTTGGCCCAAGCCCGAGCTGACTCCGGCCGCTTTCACGTAAGTCCAATTGCCCAGCCCAGAGAGGCTGCTTAAGACAGGGGTGTTGCAGGCTGGCTGTTAAGGTGGCACGTGGTTATTCTGGTCTCACAGGCCCCAAAATGAACTGATGCCTTTGAAGGGCTCCTGGTCAAAACAGAAATTCGATGGGATGATCGTCCCCCGGTGCTCAAACCCTGAGAACTGTTGGTGGTGGGGGGGAGGGAAGGGAAGGGAGGCTTCCTAATGGTGGGGCATCCTGGCAAAAGTAGAGATGGAGAAGTCCTGCAAAGGGTCCCCTTTGGGCTGGAGGGGGGAGGGGCCAGACTCTCAGGGGCTCTCCTACACCTGCCCCCCCATCTGGGAAGGCGGAAAAGACCCTCTGCTCTTCTGCACCTTGGGTCACGTTAGGCAGCGGCAGGACGGGGACCCGGATGGTGAGGCTGGCCAAGCATCAGTTTCCTCTTGGCAACAGTCCCTGTAGCTCCCTTTGTCCAGCCGCACCCACTCCAGAGCATGGCATAAGAGTGCAGGATAGTCCAGAAGGGCAGAGTGCGCACTAGAACTGTCTGATCTTCCCCCCTCTCAATGGGAGCAAAACAAAGGAGGGTCGCTAATCTAATTGGACGGCTTTTCCTGCCTCTCTTTGACTCATTGACCCTCCTCAAGGGAAGCCGGTTTTACGTGCAAGCCAGGCAAAACATGGGCAGCTCTCAATGCTGCCAACCGACGGGCAGCCTGGGCAGCCAATGAGCTGAGGGGAAATGGTACAGAGAGCGACGCCTCCAGAAGGTTGGGCATGTGGCCGCCAGAGGGTCCCTCTCCTCTTCTTCAGACTGAGTCACAAGAGGTTTTCGGGACAGGCGGCGAATTCACATATCTCTCACCATTTATTTGTTCGCCATGTTTATGTAGCCTCACCTGCCTGGCATGGGGTTGCCGCCTGCCCCAGCCTCTCAATGAGACAAGCGGCACAGAAATCTAATCAATACAATAAATAATAACCCCTATCCTGCCATAGGCCAAAGGCTATTGCTTAACGCATTGTAAGCCGCCCTGAGTCTCCGGAGAAGGGCGGCATATAAATCGAATTAAAAAAAAAAAAAGGCTGGCAAAGGGCACTACGACCTTGGCACACGAGGAAGCTTGGCAGGGGTTCCTCCCTGCATTCCTCTCCCCTGGCACCAAACCGAATCAGCTCCAAGAGAAGAACATTCAGGCAGGAGGCGGGTTTCGTAGATCACTAAACCAGCAGGTTTCTCAGGCTGTCGAAACTCCTCCTTTGCATCCCAGGATTTAGGTCCGAAAGGCAATGCACCGGTACCCCAGCCTGGCCTAGGGATCAAGGCACCAGACTAGAACCCAGGAGTCTGGGAGTTCCAGTCCCACCTCGGGAATCAAAGCTGCTCTGTGTGTGTGTGTGTGTGTGTGTGACCCTGGGCCAGTCACCCTCTCTGGGCCCAATCCACTTCATAGGGTTATGGTGGAGGAGGAGGAAGGAGTGTTAAGTGTGCTTGTTGCCTTGAGCGACTTACGAAGTAAGAAAAGTGGGATCAAAATCCAATAAAAAAAGAAACTATTACTCTAAAATCATCTCCGAGACTGGAAGACAGAGCCAGGAGGCCAAAGGGGCGGGGTCAAGAGGCCCAAGGCCCCTTTTTCCCCCCCCACCTCTCCCCCCAAACTTCCCATCCTCCCTAACCCTCCCTAACCCTCCCCTCCCCCCAGACTTCCCTATAATATACTCATAACTGGTAAAAAGAAAACACAACAAAAAAAAAAACCATAATATAACACTTATATGTAAACTTGAACCCCTCCCTCCCCTGTATAATTTTTCTCTTTACCTCCTTACATTAAAATATTTCTAATACATTATTTTCAAATAAAAGCTATTTGATACTTTCTAGTTTGATATTTGTTCTGAACATATTCTATCCACCTTTTCCATTCCCATTCATAAGTCTCTTGTGAACAGTCTTTTAAATATGCTGAAATCTTCGCCATCTCTGCAAAACTGGCCATCTTCAAAGTCCATTCCTCAATAGTGGGCAAAGCTTCATTCTTCCAGTATTTACCTATCAACAATCTTGCTGCTGTTATCATATACAATATCAATTTTGTTTCACCCAATGTAAAACCCTTAACTATACCCAATAAAAACAGTTGTGGAGAAAATTGAATTTTTTTCTTCAAAACATTCTGCATGACCCACCAAATTTTTATCCAAAAAGCCTTAACTTTCCTACAGGTCCACCAAACATGATAATACGTAGCATCCAAACATTCACATCTCCAACATTTTGGCTGAACATTAGGGTACATACATGACAACTTTTTGGGATCTAAATGCCATCTATAAAACATTTTATAGAAATTTTCCCTCAGGTTCTGCGACTGTGTAAATTTAACATTCTGAACCCAAATTTTTTCCCATGTTTCCAACATCACTGGTCCTTCAAAATTTTGTGCCCACTTAATCATACAGTCTTTAACTAATTCAGTTTCTGAGTCCCTTTCTAGCAAAACATTATAAACCCTCTTAATATGCATTGGACCTTTCTCTTTTATATGTCTAACCAATTCTTCCTCGTGCAACATAATACCAGTTTTTTGGTCCTCTTTCCATCTCAATTGTAATTGATTATATTGTAACCAAGTTAAATTAATCCCTTCGTCCAACAGTGTCTGCAATGTCTTCAGCTGCCATCTGCCCGCATCTGTAAAAAGAACCTCTTTGTATAAACCCCCCCCCCCGAGTGACATTATATTTGTATTCCACAAAGTATGACCAAGATCCAGCCATAGCGGTATTTTATAATCCCATTTGAGTCGATGCTTCTTCCATACTCTCATCAAAGAGTCTCTAAGTATATGACTTTTAAATACTTTATCAACTTTGTCATCATAAAATAAGTAAGCATGCCATCCAAATTCAAGATCAAAACTTTCTGCATTCAATATTCCAGCCTTTTTACTTCCAAACCAATCACTTGTTAAAGTTAAAGCTGCTGCATCATAATATCATTCACATCTCCAACATTTTGGCTGAACATTAGGGTACATACATGATAACTTTTTTGGGGTCTAAGTGCCATCTATAAAACATTTTGTAGAAGTTTTCCCTCAAATTCTGCGACTGTAAATTTAACATTCTGAACCCAGATTTTTTCCCATGTTTCCAACATCACTGGTTCTTCAAAATTTTGAGCCCACTTAATCATACAATCTTTAACTAATTCGGTTTCTGAATCCCTTTCTAACAAAACATTATAAAGCCTTTTAATATGCATTGGACCTTTCTCTTTTATATGTCTAAACAATTCTTCCTCATGCAACATAATACCAGTTTTTTGATCCTCTTTCCATCTCAATTGCAATTGATTATATTGTAGCCAGGTTAAATTAATCCCTTCAGCCAACAGTGTCTGTAGTGTCTTCAGCTGCCATCTGCCCGCATCTGTAAAAAGAACCTCTTTATATAAAACCCCCCCGAGTGACATTATATTTGTATTCCACAAAGTATGACCAAGATCCAGCCATAGCGGTATTTTATAATCCCATTTGAGTCGGTACTTCTTCCAAACTCTCATCAAAGAGTCTCTAAGTATATGACTTTTAAATACTTTGTTCGACTTTATCATCATAAAATAAGTAAGCATGCCATCCAAATTCAAGATCAAAACTTTCTGTGTTCAATATTCCAGTCTTTTTCCTTCCAAACCAATCACTTGTTAAAGTCAAAGCTGCTGCATCATAATATAACTGTAGGTTTGGTAATTTAAGACCTCCCCTTTCTGGAACATCTTGCATAATTTTCAATTTCACTCTCGGCTTTTTCTCATTCCAGACAAACTTGTTCACTCCAGCTTGCCACACTTTCACTTGTTTATCACTTTTAAGCACCGGAATCATTTGAAACAGAAAAAGAAATCTTGGCAAAATGTTCATCTTAACTGCTGCTATTCTTCCAAGTAGAGACAGTTGCAGTTTTTTCCAAATCTCTAAATCTTTCTGCACCTCTCGCCACAACACCTCGTAGTTATTCTGAAGCAATTTCGTATTTGATTCTGCAACCTGGACTCCTAGATATTTTACCCTTGGTACAACCTCAAAACCTGCCCTCCTTTCAAGCTCGTGTTTACGATCTTGTGTCATATTTTTAACTATCATCTTAGTCTTTTTATGATTCAGTCTAAAACCTGAGACTTTACCATAGTCTTGTATAATGTCCTTCATCAGGATTATTGATTCCATTGGCTGTGTTAGGGTAACAACTAGATCATCTGCAAATGCCTTTGTTCTGTAATCATCTTGCCTTATCATTATACCTTTCAAGATATTAGAGTCCCGTATTGTATTTAGCAAGACTTCTAGTGTTAAGATAAATAAGAGTGGGGACAGCGGACATCCCTGTCTTGTTCCTTTTTCAATTTTAAACTCTGTTGTCAAGCTTCCGTTAATAATAATCTGTGCCTTTTGCTCTTGATAAATTGCTGAAATCGCCTGTACAAATTGATCCCCAAAATTCATCTTTTTTAAAGTCTTTAGTAGAAAATTCCAATCCACTCTATCAAAGGCCTTCTCTGCATCCAAGAAAACCAGCACTGCAGGATCTGTTTATTCTTCTCAAGATATTCCAATAGATCTATTACTTGTCTTACATTGTCCTTCATGTATCTACCCTCGATAAATCCCGCTTGATCATCATGAATCACCTTTTGAATTACTGGCATCAACCTGTTGGCTAATACTTTCGCATAAATTTTATAATCAGAATTCAGAAGAGATATTGGTCTATAATTCTCCGGTTTTTTAGGACCGGCTTGCTCTTTTGGTATCAAAGATATGTAAGCTGTTGTCCATGATGGGGGTATTTTGCCCCCTTGTTGGATATTGCAAAATAAATCTCTAAGTTGTTCCACCATTTCAGCTTGCAAAGTTTTATAATAGACTGCAGTCAAGCCATCCGTACCAGGAGCTTTAGCTGTTTTTAATTGTTTAATTGCTACTATTATCTCCTCCTCTGTTATAGGATAATTCATTCTTTCCTTTTGTTGATCAGTAATTTTTATAACTTTTTTATCATCTAGGTATTCTTCTATAAGTCCATTTTGCACATTCTCTTTAGCATATAATTTAGTATAATAATCCACAAAAGCTTCTTTAATTAATTTTTGTTGAAAAATTTCTTTCCCTCCAATATCAATACTATCAATAGTCGGTATACTCTGTTTTTTCCTCAATGTATAGGCCAACCATCTGCCCGGTTTATTAGCGTTACAAAATGTATTATGCTTCGCATATTGTAAATTTGTTGCAACTTGTTCCGCCATAAGCATTTGAAATTGATCTTTCAAAAGTTTTATAGCACCACGCATTCTTTCATCTGTTGGATTTTTAATAAGTAACTGTTCTTTATTCTTTATTTCTGCTTCCAATTCAGATCTTTTCTTTTGTCGAATCAGTCTATGTTTAGAATTCATATAGATAAGCACCCCTCTCATGTAAGCTTTGCTTGCATCCCACACAATTTCTATTGGGGTGCCTTTATTCAAATTTAGTTGAAAAAATTCTTTCAGGTGCTTTTTAAGTTCTATTATATTTTTTTCATATCTGAACAAGTTCTCATTTAGTCTCCAAGAGCGTCTCTCAGTCTTGCCTATCTCAATTTCTATCCATACTGGGCTATGGTCAGTCAAAGTTCTTGGAAAAATCTTTGTTCTTTTTGTCTTAACGAGTAAATCATCTGACCCATTCACATTCCAAGATAAACACTTAATCATCATCTTTATCTTCCTGGAGCAAAGAGCAGAATAACCGAATGTCTTCCAAAATCTTCGGTCTCGCTCCCCCCATGGCTCCAGTCTCTTGTGTAGTACTCTTAGCTTCCTTTTTATCTTGTCACTGTTGTTGCTTTTCTTTAAGTTGCTTAGACTTAGCTCGGGTTATACGCTGATCCTTAAATTCAACCGTCTGCACCGGGTCCAAAATTGGAGAAGATTCCAGCAAAGGCTCATCCAGAAAACCTCCTTCAGCGCCCTGCGTTTCCTCTGGTTCCTGCTTAGACTGTTCTTGAGGTTCTTGTTGAAGTTGCTTCTTATCACTCTCCTTAATCTCCAGAACTGTGGATGTGCGCGGGGATGGTGTTCTTTCTTTAAAGATAGTAGTGTAAAAATGCTCCGCTTTCTCCACAGTGTTCAAGCGATGTGTTTCTCCCTTGTATCTCAAAATTATACCAGTTGGGGCATCCCACCGAAATGGTATCTGTTGGTTTTGTAGTTCTTTAGCAAGAAAGCCAAAGTCCTTTCTGGTTTTCAACATTTTAGGTGGTAGCTCTTTATAGACTCCAATTTGTGAGCCCCCCACTTGTACAGAAGTATGAAAGGATTTTTGCAGGATGTCATTCCTTATTGCTCTATCTGTAAAATATATGACCACATCTCTAGGCAGTTGTCTTTGTCTGGCCACCCAAGAATTCACTCTGTAAATTTTATCTATTTTGTAAAAAACCACATCAGGATTAATTTTTAAAATCACAGCCAAAGCCTCAGAGCAGACCTGTCTCAAATCCTGTCTGTCATCTTCTCGAATTCCTCAAAGCCGTATAGCGAATTCCATTGCCCTGAATTGCATCATAACAATTTCATTCTCGACTTTCTGCATCTTATCATCAACATCTGAAATTTTATAGTCATTATCTTTCATCTTAACATTAACTTCTGATTTGAATTCTTCCACTTTAGAATCAACTTTGATAATAAATTCTGCCAGGCCAGACGCAACTTCTGATATTTTTTTGGTCACCTTATTTTGATTCTGTTTCACCATGTCTTTAACTTCATTGATTTCCTGCATAATTTCCTGATGAGACTTTTGAATTTTGTCATCTATTTCCTGTTGGGATTTTTGAAATTTATCATCCAGAATTTTAGAAATAAATTCTTTTAAATCTCCCACATCAAATTCTTTTTTCTGAGTCTGTAGCTGTTGAGCAGGGGGAAGCTGCATTTCATGTTTGTGTGTGGGGGATCCCCCCCCCCTGTTGGCTTTCCTTCCTGCTTCTTTGAAGCCATCCTGCCACGTAGTCTAGTTTTTCTAAAGAGGGAAGTTCCTTTTCCTTTCCCTCCTGCACAAAGACTTCTAAAAAAGTCCCCCAGATTTGATCAAATAAAAGCTGAAGTAAAGCAAAGTCAGGTATTGAAAAGGGAGAAATTTTTCACTTGTTTCTCTTATTACAAACAAGGCAACTTTGTAGCAACTTGGAAACTTTGTAACAAAGCAAGATAACTTCACCAATCCACACTCGCTGGCTCGTTAACTCTAAGGCTGAGCGCCATGTTTTTTCAAAGCACTTTCACTCATTCGCATTTTTCTCAGATTGAAAAATCAACAAAGCGCTAATACTTGCGTTTCCAAGTTTCAGGGTTCAGATAGTTTTGCTGTTTATTAAAGCTGGTTCTTTTCGCTTTGAGTTTCCTGCAGCCGGTTTGTTCTGCAAAAGCAGAATCGTCCCACGTCGCCCGGAGTTTCAACAGGTTGGGAGGGAGCCGTGCCTGTTCTCTCCCCAGAAACAATTCCCTGGGGGGTTACAGGGGCTCGACCTGTGCCCTGCGATCTCTACAAAATGTAATTGTAAAACTTTTGCAATAAAAAAAAAAAAAAGAGGCCCAAGGCCGATTCCTATGGATTGCTCCAGCCACAGAGGGATCCATTATGACCCACCCACATCCAATGATAGCCAGCCCTAGGCTGCATAAAGGGGGTGGGTTGGGGAGCATTGCATTGGTCGGGTGAAGCTGCCTCGGGTCAGAGGGACCAGCTGAAGCCTCATCTGAAGACCCTTCTGTGGGGCGGGAGGCAAGGTGGCACCCTGGCTGGCTCAGCACCCTCCTGGTGGTACTCTGGACACTGCCTTAGCCTGGGGCCCGCCCCAGTCCCGCCTGCCTGCCTGCCTGCCTGCCTGCCTGCCTGCTTTGGAAAGAGAGTTAGGGCAGGGCAGGGGTCGGCAACCTTAAACACTCAGAGCCATTTGGACCCGTTTCCCACAGAAAAGAAACCACCGGGAGCCACAAAAGCCTTTTGACATCTAAAATGAAGATAATGCTGCATATATTGATTTTTTACCTTTATGCTATGTACAAAAAAACGATACTATGTTGCATTTCTGTAATCAATGAACTGCTATAGAGAAAACAAATTGTTGTTTCTGCATGCAACAAAAACATTTTGAACTCTGAAAAAAAAAATGAGTTGAAAAGTTCAATGAATCACGTGCCGGCAGGTGTCACACATTGGCGGTTGTGACGCATGTTTTGAGCAACAGGGAGCCGCAGCAGAGGGATGAAAGAGCCACATGCGGCTCCATTGCCACAGGTTGCTGACCCCTGGGTTAGGGTTAGGTGGCAATTCCTGGCAGAAGGATTGAGCAATGCCACTTCTGGGAAAGGGTGGAGGAGGAACTGCTCTCCCTCCTCCCTGGCCACAGGGCGGGTCGCTCTGGAGAGGTCGCCTAAGGCAGGTTGTGCCAGTTTCACCCTCGGGGGAGGGATTACCCAGATACTCTATCAAAGCAGGAAAGGGCCTTTCTTGGAGGAGGGGAAGGGGGAAGGTTTTCTGCCATTTCTATGTGCCAATCAAAATGTTCATTTTAACTTTGACAGCTTAATCTTTTTGAACGGCCCATCCAGGATTTTCTTCCTCTTCCTTGTGCCAGCTAAGACGCTGAGCTTTGTCAATCAGAAGGGTTGGTCCGGTTCGAATCCCTAGTATAGGTCTCCTATGTTGAGCAGGCGGTTGGACTAGATGACCTCCAAGGTCCCTTCCAACTCTGTTGCTGTTTAGATTCAATATGGTTCAGGCCGCCCTGTTGCCAAACCTCTAACAAAAGGCCGGCGGAGGCCAACAGATCCCATCCTCAGCTTCAGCACTAGGTGCCCCTCTGCTCCTCAGCTGCCCTGTTGGTTCCTTCCATGCTCCGGCCTCTGGGAAGCACACACACACACACACACACACACACACACACACACACACGGGCAGTCTGGAGACCAAGCAACTCCCAAAAGGCCTCCAAACTACACGGACCCCACCCCCGGCCCTGCCAAGCACCCTCTGGCCTCCCTTTGGCAAAGCTTTGGCGCTGGTGATAGAAGCTTCCAAGGTTTTAGCTGCTGAATCTTACCCTGTTTGGATGGAAGTTGTGCAAACGGCAACGCTGACTGGTTTGGTCAGAGAGAGATTGAGAGAAAGAGAAAGAGAGAGAGAGAAAGAGAGAGAGAGAGAAGATGAAAACGTTTCCAAAGGCTGGAAACCTTGTATGGACATTTGGCGGACATTCATAGCACAAATTGATAAAAGCACAAGAGATAAAAAATACAAAATATAAACGTCTAAAGTTATGTCTCGATGACAGGTTTTCTTTCTTTTTTTTTGTCATGTCATAACCAGAAAAGGAGCAGTCTTTCTTTCTCTCTCTCTTTTTGTGTCTCCCTCCCTCCCTCCTTCTCTTTCTCTCTCTCTCCTTTTCTCCCTCTCTCCCTCTTTCTCTCTCTCCTTTTCTAGTTTGTATGTGTTGGAATAGTTTGTTTCTTGGCCCCAGGTCCCTGTTTGTATAAAGAAGAAAAGAATGCATTGATGAATATATATATATTCATCCATTTCTAATCTTTGGATTCTTTACACTTTGTGCTTTTCTTACGTTGCAATAGTCTACTGTGAATAACTAATAAGATGTAAGTTTTACATCTTTTTAGTGTTTAATCCCTTGAACGAAACCAGACCAACCCACAGAGCCATTTTCCCAGAGATTTTGATCAAGCTCGGCCTCTTCCCATTTCAGACGGATTATGGGTGCGACATAGAGAAAGGCAGCATCTGCACCTATCACCCCGGGGCGGTTCACTGTGTCAGGAGCGTTCAGGCCAGGTAAGGCTCTTCTGCCCTCAGCCAGGAAACCAACCTACATCATACCCCCAAATTCACCTGGGATTTAGGGCGGGGCACACACAAAAATTGAAAACAATCCATGGCCCGAAAAGTATTGGGAGAAAAAATGGAACTCTCTGGGTGCGAGGCCTGCACTCAGGAAAACTGGATCTCTGTGGACCTGGATCACTTGGGGTGGGGGCAGCCATCCTCGTCCTCCAAAGGCCTTCAGGCTTTCTCCGGACGAGTTCTGACCCTTTTCCCCTCCTGTTTATTTATTTGTTTATTTATTTTGTCACATTTCTATGCCGCCCAACTCCCAAGGGACTCTGGGCGGCTTACAACAAAGAATAAAGGGGTGGGATGGGGGGGGTGGAGGAGGTAAGGGGGGGAAGAGGGATGGGAAAAATTGTTGTAATACTTGTTAAAACTTTTTAATAAAAAAAAAACAAAGAATAAAACAATGCGAACAATCCCATAAAAAATGTTAAATGTTCTCCCACAGCCCCCGATATGGCGCGGGGCAGCAGTGCTGCTACAGCGATTCGGGCGCCCAGGTGCTGACAGGGGACTCCATGGGGGGCAGCACCCCGGACCGAGGCCACGACTGGGGAGCCCCTCCCTACAAGAAGCCCCCCCGCATCCCAGGCTTCTCCCACTGGTTGTACGATGTCCTCAGCTTCTACTATTGCTGCCTCTGGTCCAACCACTGCACCGTTTATTTCAAGCACCGGCCCTCCAGTGGCTGCCAGAGATACCGGCCGCCCCGAGCTGGTAGGTTCCCTGCTTTGGGCTGCTCCTTTGGTCCATACGGATCTTGATTCAAGCAGTTCGCTTCTCCTGGGTTTGCACTTGGTGTCAGGTTTCCGAGTGCCAGTGGTGGAATTCATTTTTTTTTACTACCAGTTCTGTGGGCGTGGCTTGGTGGGCATGGCAGGGGAAGGATACTGCAAAATCTCCATTCCCTCCTGACTCTGGGGCCAATCAGAGGTGATATTTGCCAGTTCTCCAAACTACTCAAAGTTTCCGCTATCGGTTCTCCAGAACCTGTCAGAACCTGCTGAATTTCATCCCTGTTTCCGACAGATACCAAGCTGACACTCGGACTGGGACCAACTGAGTAAGGGGAAACCCTCCCCCCCATTTCACACACACACCCAGCAATACTGCCTGGGGTTCTTTTCAGCTGGTGTTTGCTGCCTCTACTCCTCAGCGTCTTTTGACCCTTTGGGGGTGATTCTTATGCCAGGGGCGCCTGGCATAAAATTAATCCCCCAGCCTCAGATTTAATAGACTTGAGTTTGCCTTGAAGGAGGAGAGCAAGAATAGGAGGACTAGAAGCCTCGGGGAAGGAAGGTCCCAGGGGTGTGGGGGGGGAGAGAGAAGTGGAAGGAAACAGAGCTTCTTCTCTTCTAAGAAAGAGGCGACTGAGGGGAGCCCCGCCAGTCAGTCTGCCCAGATCCTGTTCCCAGTCCTGGCAATCCCGAATCCAGTGGTGTATTAACTATTAAGTAGACTAGGCACATGCTTAGGGCACCAGGCCCAAAGGGGGCACCACAAAATTGAGAAAGAACAAAAAACCAATGAAGATTTGTACAGTATGTACAAAGGAGGGGGGCACCAAGATTTGTCAGTGCTTAGGGCACCAGTGAGCCTTAATCCGCCACTGCCTGAATCCCTGCAGTCCTTGGGGATGTCTGTTCCCTGAAGAGGGCTGGCAATCCTAGAGCCATGTCCAGAGAGACAGGGGTGGACACCAGAGGTTGGGGGGGGGGAGAAACGTAGTGCAGACAATCTTGAAGAAAGCCCAGCCATTGCCTATATATCCTATATCAGGCGTGGTGGGGGGGACTCAAATTGGATGAGAGAAAGGAGCAGGGGTGAAATGCTACCGGTTCGGAGGAACTGGTATTTCCAACTATCAGCTGTGCCGCACGATTTATATTAGCTAGAAAGCAGGAAATCCTGCTTTCTAGTGAATCTAAATTGCACAGCACAGCTGTTTCCCCCCCTCTCACTGTTCTACTTAACTTAGAAAAGATTTCTTAAGCCTCCTTTTTCAGCGCTGCGTGGTTGCGCCTACAGTGCGCATGCACACAAAGCGCACATTTGGTGTGCACCATGCATGCGCACACACAGAGAACCGGTAGCAGACCTCAGAGGATTTCACCACTGGGAAGGAGGGAAGGCATTCGGCCGGGCAGAGCTTTCTTTCCACCGGTCCCCAGTCGGGGGCAGAGCCCGCAGCCCAGGCACGCAGCGTTGGTCCCTAGCAAGGGAGGGTGGTGGTGTGGGGGGGAGCTCCCACAAACGCAGAGCTGCCCTCTGGGAAGAGATCCTGTCTTCCTACTTTTTGCTTCGCTTTGTCTTTTTTTCCCCACAGCTTCGGCTTTTGGAGACCCCCACTTCATCACTTTCGATGGCCTGAATTTCACCTTCAAGGGCCTTGGTGAATATTTAGTGTTGGGATCCAAACGGACCTCCCTGAGCGTCCAAGGGAGAACTCGTCGGGCTCAGCTGCTGAATGGAGAGCCAGGTGCAGTTCTCCTCTTTGGCTTTTGGCCTCCCCCCCCCCTGGATGATTCATGGGTGCATTAAGCTATCACCAGCTCTTGACTCCGCAAAGGAGAACCGTGGGGGGGGGGGCTCATGTCCGTGTTCTGCCCCGCATAGAGGCCAATATCCTAACGGTTCTAACCGGGACACCTTCAGCACGTGGGTGGGTGGATTCCCTGGCGTCCCCTTCTCCCCCCCCCCCCCACAGCATGACCTGCCGCGGGGGGCAAGAGCCCCAACCACTCTCCCTCAGCCTATGGAACAAGTTTTGGTCAAAGGGGCTTTAGCTCCCGGCCAAGGGCTTCCCTCGCAACAGGCGGGGGCACGTAGAGGGGCTTCAGTCAGCCAGGCAAAGGCCAGCCGGCCTCAGGGCTAGAAGGGTGAAGGGGAAAGGAGAAACCCAGGACAAATGTGAGGTCCTAAACCCTCAACCACTCCCAGGAACTCTTCATTCCCACTCGAATATATTTGTCTGTCCCTGTCTGCATCCAAAACAGGAAGGGTGTCCTCCCTTTTCTTTTCTTTTCTTCTTTCCCTCCATCCCAGCCAGGGCCGGATTTTCCTATAGGCTAACTAGGCTTCAGCCTAGGGCCTCAAGATCAAGAGGGGCCTACACAGTGGTGGGATTCTGGGGGTTCTAGGGGGCTCGGCCGAACCCTTTGTTAAATTGCTGGCTCGCCCGCCCCTCGCCTCCCACCTGCGCGGCGCCAGCCTACCGTAGCCAGGGGTGGGCAATTGTGGCTCTTTTACAACCTGTGGACTTCAACTTCCAGAATTCCTGAGACAGCTTGGCTGTCTCAGGAATTCTGGGAGTTGAAGGCCACAGGTTGTAAAAGAGCCACAATTGCCTACCCCTTCCCTAGCCTGAGTTCCGCTGCCTGGGATCCACGTGGGCTCCGGACGCAAGAGAGCAGGACGGAGAAAGCAGCTTCCACGCCTTCACTCACCCTCACTCTCTGCCGTTCGCTTACCCCGCCCACTCCCCATCTATTGCTGCCTCCGATGGCTAGAGGGAAAAAAAACTTCAAATTCTTGCCACGGGGCTTCAAAGGGCCGCCCTAGAGCCAGTGCTGCAGCCGAACCCTTTGTTAAATTGCTGGCTTGCCCCGCCCCTCCGCACCACTATTTATTGCCAATAAATAGTGGTGGGCGAGGGGCGGGGGAGCCAGCAATTTAACAAAGGGTTCGGTGTTTTTTTTGTAATTTTATTGGCCCCCGGAGCTTCAGCATAGGCTAATTAGCCCTTGCTTAGATCGGCTCCCGACCCCCAGCTGATTTTGCTCAGAGCTCTGCTGCTTGCTTGGAAAGAGTGCAGATTTTTTCCCCCTAGCTATACTGAAAAACGAAAGAGAAAGTAAAGCAGGCATTGGCTTTGCATGTTGGAAAATTAGGCAGGCTGATTTCTTTTTCCTCACCAAAAAAGGTAGGTGCAAACAACGGGAAATTTAGGGAAAAAGAGGAGATTTTAAAACACAAAAGAAAAAAAGCTCTATTTAACTAGGGAATTGTAATAATTGAGATACTATTAATTGTATATTTCTGAAAGCAGAAATGGTTAAGTTGTGGTTTGGAGGAATATATGGGGGAAATTATTTGGTTTATTATTATTGGTAAATATAATTAATGGATTTGTAAGAAATTGGATTGCATGGAAATAATTGGAATATTCATGTTCATATTGATTAATATACAAAAAAGGTAGTTATATAACTAATTGATTTATATTAAAATGTTGAATTTATATTAAACAACTAATATTACATAATTAACCAATGTGAGGATGGATATAAAAATAGATGACAATGGGAAGGGGTATAATATAGAATAGAAGGGAAAAATTGAATTTGATTAAGATTAGAGAGGGTAATATTGGTTTTTTACAAAAATAGATGAGGAATAAATATGGCAAAAAGGAAATATAGAAATTGTAAATTTAATTGAAATGACTAAACACTGTTTAAATTTGTGAACCGGCCAAATACTCTGTTCAAAGAAAATACATTGTATGTTTGTATGTGTGTTTCTAATTATTGTTATTTATTCATATTTGTTCTCTTTTATTCTTTAAAGTTTAACAATTCATTCTTTATTTTAATATCTTTATATTTGTTTGGGGTTGGCTTTCTTCCCTTTCATCTTTTTTATTGTACAGCAATCTTTCTCCTCAAACCTACCACCTCTCTTTTTTTTCCTTCTTACTTTCTCTTCCTCCCCCTCTTCTCCTCCCTACTTCCTCTTACTTTCTCCTTCTCCTCCTCTCTTCCTCCCTCTCTTTCGTACTCTAATTTCCCTTCCCTTCCTTCATCCCTCTCTATTGCTGTATCCTTTTATGCATATGGACTACTCAGAGGGCTGAAAAAGTTATTTCTGGCTGGTCCTCGCACTTTTGACCAGTCCTCGAACTTACGACTGTCCTCACATTTTACGTTTTTGCCCTATCTTGTCACCATGGTGAAGAAAAGCAGTTGTGAAATGAGTGACATGGTTGTTAAGAAAGCTGCACGGGCATAAATGTGAGGATGGTCATAAGTGTGAGGACCGGTCAAAAGTGCAAGGCCCAGTCAGAAATGACTTTTTTCAGCCCTCTGAAAAAAGTCTATGCACATAGCCACGCCCACCCGGTCACATGATGAGCTAGCCATGCCTACACAGTCACGTGACCAGCTAGCCACGCCCACCCAGTCACATGATTGCCAAGCCACACCCCCAACTAACCCACGCCCACAGAACCTGTTGTTAAAAAATTGAATCCCACCACTGGTGAAAGGGCCTCATAAGTGGAATAGCCTAGGGCCCCTTTCAATCTAAATCCGGCCCTGATCCCAGCATTCATCACTTGGTCCTGGGATTGACACATCTTCTCTACGAGGGAGGAGGAGTTGTTGGTGATCCCTCCCACTTACACACACACACACACACACCACACACAGAGTTCTGACCTAGGCTCCCTTAACAAACAGGAGGCAGGAATTACTGGCAAAACCTTTTTTATTTACACAACTGTGAATTATGTTCATTCACAGTCAGCAAGGTTTGTCCAAACAGTTTTTCAAAGGAATATTTCTCAACACACCTTGTTATCTCGTTTGGCAAGCTGCCACATGGATTGTTTCCAACTGCAGTACAAGGCAAAACTTGGAACAGAGTCTCTCAGAGTCACGGAATGAACAAATTGTTTCCTGCAAAGGCCCATTCCCTGTTTGCTCCTATTTTATTTCCTATGGGAAGGGCCAATTATCTCCAAGGTGTGACCTTACTCTGGAGTCGACCCTGCTTTCTTAATTGTTCTTGTCTTCCAGCAGCTCTGCACATGTGCATACTGGGAACAGGCTCCAGCTGTTCCTCTGCCTCGCTGCTGTCTATCTCCCTCTCTGCCTCCGACGCAGAGCCCTCGTCTGAGTTTTTCCCAGCCCCCAGGACTGGCCCAAGTTCCTCCCCAACCTCCTCACTGTCCGACTCTGCTATCAGTTCTGCTGGCCGCTGGTGGGCCACAACACACACACACACACACACCTTAAAAGGGCCACTCCCGTCCTGAGCACCAGTTTACAATTTCCCTAAAAACTTCATCCAAGGAGACCACAGGAAAGAAGCTTTGAACAGAAATTTGGGATTGGTTTCTGCTCAACACAAAAGGGTCCCACACCCCAAAGATCAATTTACCCTTGCTTTCTGCTGTAGCTCAGGTGAGCTCAGAGTAGTGCTGGGGGGGGTGGAGGTGGAGAGTTGGAAGAGAAAGAGGCCAGGCGCTCTCACAAATCTCCCTAGCTAAAAGACGCTTACACACCAACTGCTACGTTACACACACTCCCCAGGGGCATCCTAAGGTGGCCAAGGGAAGGGAAGTGGGATCAAGATCACCTCATCCAGTAGGGTGCCCTGCTAGCATCCCTGGTTGCAGCTCAAAAGTTCTGAATCCCACTGCTGACACCAATTGCCATGGAATCAAAGCACAGGACCGCCCAGCCCAGCCCATATTTGTTTTTTAAATGTCTTCTGCTATAATCTTATTGTGAGTTATCCTAAGCCAGGGATGGGGGGTTGGTGCAAATGGGCCAGGTTAAGACCGTGTGGGGGTTGGGAGGACCCATACCTGTTTGTGACTGTGCTGCCCGGCAGGAGCCGAAGCCAACGTGACCGGCCTGTCAGCGATCGCCATGCGGGAAAAGAACTCGGACGTGATAGAGGTTCGCATTCGAGAAAACTCCCCCGAGTTGGAGGTCCTGCTGAACCAAAAGGCCCTCAATTTTTCGGAACAAACCTGGATGGACTTAAATGGTGAGAGGAGGAGGAGGAGGAGGAGGAGGAGGAGGAGGAGGAGGAGGAGGAGGACGGGTTAAGGAGGGGCACAGTGAGAAATCTTTCCTGTCAAGGCCACAGGCGGCCATGTGCTCGAGAGTATCCCAGAATCATAGAGTTGGAAGTGACCTAAGAGGTCATCAGGTCAAACATGATTTCCTTCTGGTGTTTTTCCAGGGAGGGGGGGCTCTGTGGAACTTCCTCAGGGTGGACCCCTTTAAAAGGTGAGAGGGGTCTTCCGCTGGCAAAGAGGCCGCAGAACAAGGAAGAAAGGAGACCTCTCTCCATTTTGAGTGCCTTTAGGTTTCTGCTGGCTGTCTCAACTCTGGACAGTCACTTGTCTGAGATGGAATAGGTTCTGCTTGAACAGGGGGCTGGACCAGAAGACCTCCAAGGGCCCTTTCTATTCTATTCTGTTCTATTCTAAATGATGACACAGAGCAGCGCCACCTGGTGGCCAGAGCAGGATGGCTCCCAGGCAAGACTTTCCTCCCTTCCCAATCCTTGGCCCAAGGAAACTGCAGGAGGAGCAACCAACCGCCCTCACTTCCACTCCACAGCCAAGGCTCAGGGTTTGTGGTGTGGAATTGGTCTTTTCCCCAGCTCCCCTTGGCCCATCAAACTGAAAGACAGCTCTGCTCTGACTGTGAGCTGCTTTGAGCTGCAAAATTTCATTCCTGAAATTAGGAACCGTCATGTGGTTCCAGATGAGTCCAAGCTAGAACCCCAGAGGGCTCCAACCTGGTCGGAAGTACCCTGCAGAGGGATGCCCATCCTGCTGAAGGGGATGACCCGGAGCTTGCAAGGCCTCCAACTTCGAATTCTAGCGAATCTAAATCGCACGGCACAGCTTTCCCCCCCCTCGCTGTTCTACTTACCTTAGAAAAGGCTTCTTAATCCTCCTTTTTCAGCGCTGCGCAGTAGCGCCTGTGATGCACCTGCGCGCAAAGCACACATTTGGTACGGACCACGCATGGACGCGTGCAGCGAACCAGAATCGAAGCGAACCAGTAGCAGACTTCAGTGCATTTCACCCCTGGGTGGAAGGGGGTCTCAGACCCCCACTTGGGGAGTAGCTCTGCATTCCCACCAATCACTCAGGCCAGGGTGGGTGCCTTGTGATTGCCGGGATCTCTCCATGTCTCCCCCTCCAGGCCTCTTCCTCTATTGCAGCCCTGGGCAGAACGTGACAGTGATGTTCTCTTCCGGAGCCGGCGTGGAAGTCGGTAGCCACGGAGGGAAAGTGCTGAGCCTGACCATTCTGCTGCCAGAGACCTTCCAGAACCAGACGGAAGGGCTCTTTGGGCTAATGAATGGCAGACCGCAGGATGACCTGATCCTTCCCAATGGAACGGCCCTGGATGTGGCCAGCAGCGGCCCCTGGGAGCTCTTCACCTTCGGAGCAGACTGTGAGTACGGCCCTCCTGGAGGAGGAATAAAAAAGGGGTGTGTGGATCATGGGCCGCCTGGAAGTAAAAGAATGCCTGGGGTCTCCCCCAAATTTCTCAGGTGATTAAAAGAAGCAGCTACGTTAAATTTTATCCCATATGATTCCTTCAGCTGTTAAGTGCCCCAAGATCCCTCCGTCTCAAGGAGTGACGTCTGCCTTCACCAGTCAGAAGTCCAAGCAGGAAGGGTTGCTACCCTTTTGCCCCACCCAGGAGAGACTGCTGGTTGGGAGCCATTTTAAATTCCGGGATGCCTTGATTTGGTGCCAAGCTACCTTTTGGATGTTTCTGTGGCCGTGGCTTTTTCGCGACTGGGCCGTGTGAGTCTCACATGAGCATCATGGGCATTCACGGCAGGGGTGAAAAAAATGCTTTAAAAAGTAAAAAAAAAAAAAGTTCTGACGATCAGCTGTGACAATCAGCTGTGCCACGCGATCCTTGGAACTTTTTTTTTTACTTTTTAAAGCATTTTTATACCACCTATTGAGGGTCCGTTTTTGCTCCCAGAAGGCTTTCATGAAACCTGCTAGGCCAAAAACGGGGTGGTGAGGTGGAAAGAAAGAAAGAAAGAAAGAAAGAAAGAAAGAAAGAAAGAAAGAAAGAAAGAAAGAAAGAAAGAAAGAAAGAAAGAGGGAGGGAAAAAGGAGAGGAAGGAAGGACCACAAACCTGGCACTAGACGCAGCTTCAGAGGATACCTTGAAAGAGCACAGCAATCCAGGCCTGGAAGGGACCTGGAGGTCATCTAGCCCAACCCCCTGCTCCAGCAGGACATTGTTAAAGTGAGTTTCTGTCCTTTGACACCCCCAGTCACATGACCCCCACCAAGCCACACCCACAGAACCAGTAGGAAAAATTTTTTTGATTTCACCACTGACTCATGGCTCTACTCACATGAACAACAGGTGCTTGCGCAAGCACACGCACGCAAAACCACCTCCCCTTTCCCCCCTCGCCTCCCTGATCCAGGACGCCAACCCAGACTCTGTCTTAAGCAGCCCCTGAACACTGACCGGCGTGCTCTGTGGCCCTTCAAAGGCTGCTTCACGCTGCATCCCCACTCGTTTCGCATGCAGGCTGCCCGTGTCAATCATCGGCTCCTAGAGACTCCTAGAGACTTTGTTTTTAACAAATCTATCAAGGAGCCAAACAATGAACATCAATAGCTGAACTAAATGAGCGCCTTTCCCTTCCCTCCGCCCCCCCACCCCCCACCCCACGAAAGCCACTTTGGGAGAGCAGCAAAAGCTGATTTAGAAGCCGCCCAAGGAAGCCGAGAGATTCTGTGTTATCTTGGAAGTTTCCGATCCTCCTTCTTCAAGATTTGGAGGGACCGTTTTCCTTTCTTCTTTTTAGGGGCAATTAGAAACGAAACGTCCCTTTTCACCTATGACACCCAATCCCTCCTGGACAACTTCGTCTATGGACCAAAGCACCACTCGTCTTTCGTGCCCCTCTTTTCTCCTCCCCAAGACGCCAACGAGACCCTCACGCAGCAGGTGGTTTCCGTCTGCCAAGCCGATCCCTTCTGCTGGTTCGACGTCCTGACAACCGGAGACTTTGCTGTGGGAAACATCACTCGGTCATCCCACCAGCGCTTCAGGAAACTCCAGGAGAGCTTAAAACCGGGTAAACCACCCCCCTCGTCCCCTGAAATCCTCAGCAGCACGGAGGCTTCACCTCGGAGTCTGCTGCCTGCGGTCGGTGGCATTTTACACCAGGCACCCCCAATTATGTTAATGTACCTCTGCCAATCCAGCCTTCAGCTCAGTCCCATAGCAATAGGAGAGGCTTCCTGCAGCCACTGAGCACCTCCGAGTCATCCCGGCTGTGTGGGGATGCCAACTCGGGTCCTGGCAGCCCCAGTTGGTTGGAGTCGATTGATTAAACCGGGATGAACAGATAAATGGCGGTCCCAACCTCTTGGGGGGGGGGTTGAAGCAACCAGAGGGGAATTATAAGCAGCCACAATAGGTGAGGCCATGGGTGGACGGCCAGATTTTAGAGAGATGCCAAGATCTTCTGCGGACAAGGAACAGCCAACCCAGCTTATATACCAGGTGGGTGGAGTTGCCTTGCGAAGGGCACTGGTGACTCTGACCCTCCCTCATATGTGCTCTAGAGGAGAAAGGAAGAAAAGGGCAAGGGTCCAGCTACGGGCCCAGCTCAGCCCTGCCACCCAGTCACTCCTGAAACAGCCACAGACCTGACTTGGGAGGCTGCCCAAGCCTCAGCGGCTCCCTTCGGGGAAGGCGTGGTGGGGCTGGGGGGAAAGGAGGCTTTTATCTCTAGGCTTTGTATCTGCAACTTGCCTGGCCCATTGGAGGGGCCCCACTGAAAACCCTCCCGGTGTGTTTCCACCCCCCCTCCAGTGGTTTCATGCGGCTGGCTGGCTCCCCCCTCCAATGGGGAGAAGGAAGGGACCAAATACCTAGCAGGATCTATGCTCCATTTCCGCTGCCATCCCGGTTACAGCCTGGTGGGCTCAGTAACCAGGAGATGCCAGGAGGATGGGACCTGGTCGGGACGACCCACCAGCTGTCTCCCCAATGCAGGTAAGACCTTTAAACGATTCTCTCCCCTCGCCCTCCAACACACTGGATCTGAGCTTGCATGCTGGACCAAGGGGAGCAGGGAGAAGGGGGCGGGGGTCTTGTGCCAGTAAAGGGGGCTGCACAACTAAGAGAAGCTGCTAGCAGCCCTCAAGGTATCATGTCTCACCTCTGGCTTCACCGGGAAAGAAGCCCCATTGTGACTTTATGACGCATCCTCCCCTCCTAATGGGATGGCCCACTTTAAGACGGGTGCCAACACAACCCTCCTTGCGAGGCCCTGGCTCCACTTTCTCTGGGAGAGAATTGTGGGGCGGCGGGGGGGGGGGGAAGCAAGGCAATCAGGGGGGTCGGAGGGGGGAGAAGAGATTCCAGGAGATCCCAAAGATTCACACAATAAAATTCAATCTGGGGGGGGAGAGAAGCTGGATTCACTTAAGAAAACACAGGATTGTTTAATGGCCGCTGTAAAAACGGTCGTAAAATTGGGGCCAGTCACATGGTGCATCAACCTGTGAGCAAGATTCCAGTCCCAGCTCTGGTCATAAATCAAGGACTGGCTGCAATCTGAATTTGCTTCACTTCATCACAGCCTCCAGCTCCCCATGTATGGAAGAGGGGCGGCTTCCCCCCACCCCGAGGTTTTTGAAGGCTGCCGAGGAAGGGCTTATGCATTGCTCATGGGCCCAGAGCCTCTTCGGGGTGGGGGGAGAAATACCCCGACTCCCAGTTAGCAACCCTCGTATATCAAAAGGCCTGGTGAGACCAAGACCGTCCGGGTGACGATGAAGCCAAAGCAACCCATTCCAGCTCCATCTTGACTGAGAGCAATCCCAACCATCTGTAGTCGATTCTCCACACCTAGTTCTGGTATTGGCAATAAGGCAATTATGCCTTGCAAGATACCCAGGGGTCATCTAGTCCAGCCCCCCACCCCCCCTTGCTCAGTGCAGGAATCCTCTCCTGCAGCTTCTCTGCTGATGGCCTTGGTTTTTATGTCCCAGGAACCAGCCTGCCCCACTCAGTGCTTGCGATCCTGAAGGCTGCCTTCGTCTTCTGGATAATCTGGTGACCTGGATATGGGGAAGATGCTGGAAGAAGACCCTCTCACAGCTCCCCTCTCTTCATGAAGGCAATCAAAAGAACCCCTGCTTTGGATGACCACCTCCAGCCCACCAGCAGTGAAATGTCAGGCCCCATGACCGGCGGATGAGCCAGCCTCCAATTCACTCTGGGTCCAGGCAAAGGGGCTGCACATCTAGCCGGCCCTTGGGTGGGAGGGGAGGTGAAACCGTTTCATCATCAACCAAACACACAGATCACTCTGAGGCCAGGGGCTGCTCCGCAAAAAGACGGCACTGGGAGGCCGAGCGGAAGGGTGCAGGCGGGCAGCCAGGCCGAGCTGCCCGGCAGCAGCAGCAGCAGCCCTTCGGCTGGTGCCTAATGGGGTCTCCTCAAGAGGCAGGGGCAGCCCCAGACCTGCCCCTCCTTGCTTGGGGAGGGAAGGGACTCCCGGAATGACAGGATCCCAGCTTTCTCCTATTTCAGAGTCCCGTGCCAGGAGATTCCTTAGATAAGGGCCCCCTCAAACCCCGGTCCGTGGACTGGCACCTGCCCACAGCATGCCAGAAACTGGGCAGCGCAAACAAGGGATGCTCCATCCATAGGATGCAGGCAGCACATGAAACCAGGCCCCCTCCAGTCCGTGGGAAAAACCTCTCTCCACAGAACCAGTCCCTGGTGCCCAAAAGGTTGGAGGGCACTGCCCTAGATGGCTGGTTTCACACGAGCCTCATAACCGGGTCAGGAATCTGAGATCTGAAGCTAGTCACTGGTGGGATCATGGCAGCCATTTCTTCCTTGGCAGTTGAAATGAATGCCCTGACCCCATCCAGGGTGGAGCAGTCACCCCAACTCAAGTCTTCTGGTGCAGAGCCTCCAGTGGTTCAGGGCTTCCCGTCTGCAGCCCACCACCCCGAATTAGGCCTGAATTATTTGGCAGGGGCTTCCCCTGTCCTCTTCACCTGGAGAGCCAACCCTCCGTGGCTTTTCTCGTCTGTAAAAGGGAGCACTTCCCCTTTCAGGGGCCATTTCAGAAAAAGAGGCAGGGTGGCTTTGAGGACCCTTACCCAATAGCCTCTCCCCCCTCCCCGCCCCTGCGGATGTCCCAGAGGTGGAAGACCAAGGGCACAGCCAGGCAGCCTCTCCCAACTTCTGCCCCACTTCCTGCTGGGATATCTGGCACTTTCTGGAAAAGAGGGTTAAGAATCAGACCCTCCCCAAAGAAGAGTGTTTCCCCACCCCCCACCCCAGGGACAACCATACGCTTCCAAGACCGCCAGGAGAAAGACGCAGCTGATGGGTTTAAGCGCCTTGAGCAAACGGGACCGCTCTTCCCTGCCCTCCGGCCAAGGCAGAGACCCTCCCAAATGCAGCCCTCTGGATTCTTCCTGCTTTTATCATTTCTCTCCAGGCTGGCTCTCTCGGCCGGGTGTGGGGACCAGGGGTGAAATGCTATCGGTTCACGCCAGTTCAGGTGAACCGGTAGTAATAAAAGCTACCAGTTGCGTGAACTGGTAGTAAAAAAAAGCTACCGGTTCATCCGAACCAGTATTTCCGACAATCAGCTGTGCCGCATGATTTAGATTTGCTACAAAGGAGGAAATCCTGCTTTCTAGCTAATCTAAATCATGCGGCACAGCTATTTCTCCCCACCCCCCACCCCCGGCTGTTCTTCTTAACTTCAAACAGCTCCTTTTTCCGCACAAAGCACATCTTTGGTGCGTACTGTGCATGTGGATACAGCGGGCGTTTGGCATGCACAGCGTGCGTTTGACACGCAGCACACATGCATGGGCAGCGAACCAGTGGCAACCAGTGGAGATTTCACCACTAGTATAGACCCACCAGTCCAATAAAGTGGCTCTTTGATGAAAAAGATACAAAGCAATGAGGCTCTTTATTGAACGCTCTTCTACAAATCACTCGGCACCAAACGACAAAGAAACGGCAGCCACAGTGGGGAGGAACATGGGACTTGTGGTTCCCTCTCTACGCAGGGACCAGCAGGGCAATCGCGCCGCCAATGAGAAAACCATGAGCTCAAAATGGGCACCGTGAAACAACAGCACAGCCGGTCGGTCGTGGGGACAGCTTTCCCCCAGCCTTTCGTGCTCCCAGTCCCAGCCCTCTGGGGAGGAGGGGGCCAGGGGCACACAAGTCAAAAAAAAATCTTGCCCTTTTTCTTAAAGAGGCCAGGTAGGCAGTGGAGGAGGGGGAAGGAGGGGGAGGAGGAGAGGGGGGGGGAAGCAGCTTTTCCTTGCTTTTCAATACTGCCCCCCACCCCACCCCCCTCTTTTGGGGACTTCACTGCAGACATGCTGCCCGATGTCATGTTCTACGCTCTGCCAGCCAGATAGGAGGGCAGGCCAATTCTGATCGCCTTCTGCTAGGAGGAACTATCCAAGGCCAACCCACCTCCAGGGACTCAGAGTCTGGCCACCGCTTTCCTTTCTTGCCTTCGTGAGGTGGACGATGGTTAAGAGACAGAGAGACACTGGCTCACCCCCCTCCCATCTTGTCTTCCACACAGCCTGGCCACTTTCTGCCAACCTGCTTTCCTGCCCTTTTCTGCCCATCTTCTCTGGGGCCCCAGTTGGTAGCCTCCCCTTCCTTGACAGCAGCCAGCCTGGCGCCCCAAGGCCTGCATGGCATAACCACTCCAAGGTGAGCCCAGGGCTGATCAGAATGGGCTTCCTCCAGGCCAGCTGCTCCCCGAGGGTTCCTGTGGATTCTGGCTGGAAAGTCTGGGGCAGCCAGCCTTCCTCTCATGCCTCGGGAGGTGTTGTGGTGGATGGGAGCTGTGGCTGGCCAGCAGAGGTCTACGGCCGACCTCCAGCAAATCAGTCCTCCTGGACCTGCTGGTTGGAAGGATCGGCCCAACGCTCCTGCTATGAAAAGGGTCTCTCAGCACCCACCAGAGACCCCCTTCCTCTTCCCTGGCTTCCCCACACAGAAGGAGGGCTCTCCTAGCCAGCTGCTTGTCGCCGTCGAAGCTGGTCCAGTTCAGGAGGAAGAAGCTGCTCTTAGCCCATCTTCTGAGGCCATGTCAGGATCTCCCCCAGTTTTGTGCGTGGTTCACTGGATTCATGCAACCCCCAACAGGATGCATATCGGATCTCCTCCTCCTGGTGGTTATTGCTGAGACCGTTTGCAGCAAATGGGTCCCAGGAATACCTGACCCAGAAGCCTCAGCAGCGACGCACAAAGGGGCAGGCTGGCCACAGGACAGAGCCGTCGTGAGAGCAAGAGGAAGGCCTGGGAGCCTCCAGCTGTAGGCCGTGGCTCCTTGCTTCCTCCCTCTGTGCAGCCCATGCACCAGCTTCGGCGATGTGGATATGTGATGGGGCCGTGATCTCTCCTCATCTTGAGATGGAGGAGGGGGAGGGAGGACGGGGGGGGGGGGGCGGGGTCTCCCCACCTGTGGGGGGGGGGGGGGGGGGGGGGGGGGGGGGGGGGGGGGCAAGGCAGACTCTACAGCTGGTGATGCTGGTGCTGTGGTGAGACCCAGGCCGGTCCCGGAGCCGGTCTGTTCTCAGCGGGAGGGTCAGATGATGGAACACAGAAAAGTCCATGCTTGATGGAATTGGGGTGGGGGGGAGAGACAGGGAATGCGGGGGAACCTGGATCAGGAGACGTTTATGTGTTGCGCACCCCCAGAGACTGTTCCAACTCTTGCCGGCGCTGCTGGATCTGAAAGGGGGGGAAGCAGTGGGTTAGGCTGAAGGAACCGCTGGGTCCAAGCAGAAGGGGGTTGGAGAGCCAGCCCTCTCCCCAGCCGCCTTGCCTTGCAGTAGAAGTATCTGCTCACGGCCTCCTGGGACCACGGCTGCTGGTAGAAGTCTGCCCTCCGCTCCTCTTCCGGGTTCCCCACCACATCGGTCATGACCTGCCGAGCGAGACAAACACGTCCCCCGTAAGCAAAGCCCAAAGGTGGCTCCCTTCCGGTCTCAGTGGAGAAAAGCCCACGGCTGCCCCCTCAAGGCTGGCCATCGCTTCCCCCAAAGCTCCTGAGCAGACATCGGGCCGCAAGTCTTCCTGGCGTGAAGGGGAGGCCTTGGCCATGTCGAACAACCGCTGACTATAAGGCAGGCAGCGCCCATTCATGACAAGGCTTGAACCGATTTGGGGAGAGGTGGGATTTTCAAGCAGGGTCTCAAACAGGGCCTGGGCAGCATTAGGGGAGGCACGCAGCTCGCTGAGGTGCACTGAAGGCATTTCAGTGGCAAAATATTCCCATGTTCTGCCTTTGCTTGCCTACGAATTCAAGTGCCGGAAGAAGAAGGGAGGGAGGGAGGGGCTCTGACACCGTGGCCCTTGTCACCACAAGCAGCACCATTCAAACCTTTGATATGGTTAAGCAGGCACTGGCGCATCTACCGTGTTTCCCCAAAAATAAGACCTATCTTATGTTTTTTTTGGGGGGGTTGCCACAAAAAAAAGGCACCAGGTCTTATTTTCAGTGGGGTGTCTTCCACTGATTCACCTCACTTGCACGCATCGCCCCGGTCTCTTTTTTGCTGTCAGCGGCCTTCAGGAACTTCTACGGCCGGCAAGGCTTTCCTGAAGGCCTCTGCAGCTGATAACAGAGCTCTGGATTGTCGGGCTGTGAAAGGTCTGGCTGAAACTGTCTGAAGATAAGTAGTAGGGGAGCTCTATCACTCCCCATCCCCACCTAGCTTAATTTTACCCATGCACCCTGGAATGGGAGGGGTCTTAATTAGGGCTTATTCTGAGAGTAGGGCTTATATTCGACATACCCGTGTAAAAATTAAACTAGGGCTTACTTTCTGGGTAGGTTGTATTTTTGGAAAAACACAGTAAAGTCCTCCCCCCCGCTTGTCCCACTTGGCCCTCCAGATGTGGAAGGGTAAAGCCCCCTCCTGTCCTCATGCTGCACCCAGAGCAAAGGAAGAGGAAAAAGGGGTCTCCGGAGAGGCAGCCCAGCCCCAGAGGCTGAAAGTCAGACCACAGCGCCAGGCAGCAACTCTCGTGGTCCCATCCCTACTCTGGAGCCACAAACGCCCAGAGCCACCGACCTTGAGATCCCTGCTCTGGGAGCGGAGGAGGTCCTGGATGTAGCCCTTGGGGTCTTTGGAGAAGCTCAGCATGAAGTCTCGTTGTATCTTCAGCTGGTTGATGGACTCGATGGTCTCATGGATCTGAAGGAAGGAAGCAGAGATCAGTTTCTTAACCAATCAGAAGCATCCTCCTTTGCTTCTCTGTTTCCCCAAGAAAGCGGCTGGCCTAAGCGGTGGGAGCAGCCCATCACTGGAGAAAAGAGACTGGAGGCACCTCTTGGCAGATGCCAGGATCAGCGGTCCTGTCTCTGGACAGTTGGGGCATGTCCGGGATGTCTTAGGTCAAGGGGAAACTGCTGGTATTTCATTTAGATGAAAAATGTTGATGAAAAGTAAGGCTTGCCCCGTGATCAGGCAATCTCTGGGCAGGCCCCTAAGCCCAGGTGTGAAGCTTCCCCTCAACCTGCCGTTGCCCCCTCTCCCCTGGAAGTGGCTGCTCGGATAAAAGGGAGAAGAGGGAGAAGGCGCTTGGCCCAGGTGGGCCAGACGAAGGAGGGCCTCGATTCGCTTCTGGGCTCTTAGGGATTTGGCAGCCCCCAGAGGGCGAAGGGAAGCCCTTCTCCTGACCCTCCTACAAGGTTTGGCCTCAGATTGTGGCCACACCAACTTGCCTTCTTCGGGGTCCCCCCCCCCACTTTGGATGGTGAGGAAGCTGGCCTAGAAACAGGGAATTCTAGTCCCACCCAAGGCATGAAAGTCGGCTGGGTGATTTTGGGCCAGTCCCTCCTCTCAGCCCACCCACCTCACTGTAGTTGTGGGGGACATGGGAGGAGGAAGGAGTATTAGGTATATTGGTGGCCTTTAGAGATTTATAAAGTCATAATGGCCCGATAGAAACCTAGCCTAATATAATTTTATAAACCAGACATTGCTGGCCTGTCTCGGCTTTGTGCCCGGGCAGCCCGCCCCACCAGCGGTACCTTGTTGTCCAAGGCGGTGATCTCCTGCTGGTTGGCGGTGGAAAGCAGGAAGCTGCTCATCTGCCCTTTTAGGGGGTCTTCCACCTCCACGTCAATGTCATAGCAGGCCGTCTTCTTCTGGTCGTTGGGGTCCACACTGAAGGAGGGAGGGAGCCTGAAGCATCAGCCCCCGTCCTGGGGAGCCTCCCTCCCTCCCTCCAGACTCCCCACCCCCCACCCCACGCTGCCCAGATCTGACACTCTGTCTGCTCACAAGGGGCGTGAACTGAATGGGACCCTCCACCCTTCCCCTGAGCAAGCCGGGCTTCAGGGCTGCCAATTCCCTCCGCCGCCCGACTCCCGGATGCATCTTTGGGGGTGCCGGGAAGACCTTCTGGCCGAGACAGAGCGAACCCCCCCTCCCCATTTGAAGGGAAATGATAAATGATTTGATACAGCTCCTGCGGCCCTTCTGCCCACCAGGAGGAAGATCCCAAGGAGGAGGGATTCTCGTGCCCCGGGCTCCTCCCTCTCTAAAGCAATGGAGAACACAGCCAGCACCACCCCCCAGGATCCATCAGGCAGCCTCTTCGGTCCCCACCACAGCCTCCCCTCCTCTCTTGCTCAGCTCACCTGGGGAGAGGGGGTGGGGGGCAACATCACAGGGGGGACGGACAGAAGGGGTGTCCTGAATGCTGCTTTCTCTCGGGGGGGCGGGGTGTCAACATTCAGGGCGGAGCTGCCCTCACCCAGCAAAGGTGCTGACCTGATGATGTGATTGATCACGATGGGATCCGGGGGCAGCAGCAGGTTGGTCAGCCTCTGTGGGATCTCGGAGAACTTGAGCCGGGAGCAGTCAAAGATCTGGAACGGCAAATGGACAAGAACATTGGCGGCGGGG